AACCTATTTCGGCCAAATCAAACTATTTTAATTTGTGGAGAAGGTTTCAAGCCACAGAGGTCGACAAGCACAGATATGGCTACTGATCCTGCTTGGCTGGGCCTAGTGCCCTCGCAAAATTGTTTCGAAATTTATATCTCCAAAGTTGACAAATGTTATAAAATGCCTTAGCTACATCACAGTTAGACACTGATTTTCAGTATATTAGACTGTTCTTTTGATAATGATATCAATTATCCCTTTAGTTTATCCAAATTCCCGATGGTTAATTCTGACTCGATCGCCGAATGACAAGGGCGACGCCATGTTTGTTTGTAAACACTGAAAGTAGTCCCTACTTGACCTTTGATATTTGAATCGCTATCCGTATATGACCCCAACGGATATCGTTTTTATCCTTTGGCTTCATCCTGCCGAGAAACCTACCCATTATATGATAAAATATAATATCCCCAATAAACTGCATTCTTGTGCATAATAATGAAAATCAATGAACCGAAAAATAATATATGTATATTTGTTCCCATTTATAACCATTTTAGCCACTTGAATTACGAGAAAAACGAAAAAAAAAGAAGGAAAAAAAAGAAGTGCTTTCGCAAACTAGCGCTTGCTATAAAATGCGCCGCCGCAGGCTATATTTAGTAAACAAATATTCAAAACTCTCAACACCGCTGGGCGTCTTCAATAACATTGCGTGACGAGATGATAGAGATGATAGATCACTGGGAGGAGCTTATGCACACTCGATGACCCCTGACGTCACAGGGCATTGTGCCCGTGTGACTGGCAACAAAATACCACAAATTACGGCATAGGGTATTGTCACGTATTTGAAAAGTTTGTGGTACTGTATGTTATAGTTACAACACACCAAGACGAGTTGTTTGGGCAGTAAGAGCACGGATTGGCTTGGCATTTGATTGACAGACAAAAGGATCAAATGCCAAGCCAAACCGTGCTCTTACTGCCCAAACAACGAGTAGGTGGGTGTGTTGTAAGTGACTTGTAGCACGGGTTGCGACGGACATTCCAAAATTGCGCGAGTTTGTATAAAATTTAGTGACGTATAAAGATGACGTTAAATATGACGTCACATGCTTTTTGCCTTCGAACCGTTCTTAACTTTTAATCTAATTGTTAAATCAAGTGTAAAATTTGGAATTTTCAAAGGCACAGAAATGTCAACTATTAATTTTCCGAATTTAGCAACATGCGTTCTGTGTCCAGTTGTTTTTATGTTTGACAGTTACATTGTCATCTTTTAATTAAGTTATAAACATTTCTATTGGGTTTTTTTCTTATTTACGTTATTACTCTTGAACACTGTGTACAACACTGAAGAAACATTGTTGTAAGTTTGAAATTTCTCAAGCTAGTAGGCGGGGCTTGCTGATCTTGACATCAGCCAATGGTAATAATCTTTAACAAACCGTGCTCTTACTGCCATGATACAGCACGGGTAAGATCAAAGGTACCGCTCGTAACCCGTGCTACAATCTAAAGGTAGGCACCATTTTGTAAAATTCGGTCACGGTAGTGATGTCAAACTTCAACATATTTGGTAATTTCTCTGAGGTGAAGGTCCTTGAATGAAGAGTACACACGATCATTGTTTACTGCTTTGTACTGTTTCATGATGTAGATCTTAGATATCTTTTGAACATTTTTTGACACAATCAGTTTCACTTTGGATATTAATCAATGTTCAGTATGATATCATACGTAGGTATAGGCCACAACATATATGAACGTTTGATAATCTCCTGTTTGTTTGAACAATGTTTACATATGAAATTGATACGTTTATAGTGACGCATACGATATTTCTTTAATTTGAACAAGTGTTACTAGATGAAATGTAAATGTAACTGCAACATGTATGTATTTCTAGGGAGTGTAATAGTCAATATCATAAGTTCATATAAATAGTGTCCATGAATAGCCGTTTCATTTTATTTTATAACTAAAACTGACGATATAACTTAACCAAAATGGATATTATTTTTCGTTAAATTATATGCACACATTTCTAGAAGAATTGGCTTGGTCTTGGAATTTTTTTATGCCGTTTGATATACAGAACAGTAATATCTGAGGATTCGCCAGGTGTGATAGTCACAAACGATTTATGAATTATTCCTCTCGTTATACATTATATATGTCATATAAGTGATGACATGAGTGAGTAGAACGCTTGTCTTCACCCCAGAAGTATCAATTCACAGGATGTAATTAGTGTTTGAATGACATTGTTTATGTACTTGTTACAAGTGCTGCTCAATAAACATTGATGTGGAATACATAGTTGTTTGTTTTCAGCGTATGTCTAAGTTGGTATTTCTGCTTTCCAAAATGTCTTATTGTTGACATAAATTCAATGTTTAATAATGCGAGCAAAGACCACTGGCATTTTTCGCATTGAATTCACGCTCGCGTTAATTTCACGTTTTACAGTAATCAATGGATTCATCCTTTTTTTAAATATTGTGACCACAAGATATTAAACTGTTTACTTAATTTCTTCAAGAATTGTAAAAAGTTATAAAAAATTATTAAAGATTATAACCCGTGCCATATGTACCCCATTGCTGGACGATTATCCTTATATGATTATCCTGATAATTCGACATCAATAGAGCTCTCTTCCCATCTTTAGTGTGTAATTTTGAGACAAGATGATGAGAAATAATTACATAATAATAGAACAAATGCATACTTGATTACATAAAATTGATACCAAACAGGCGCGTGTCTTGTCCAATTAAGATACGCTGTAAACTATCGAATTGTTTATCCATTCAAGATATGCAGTCTTTTTATGTTGTGTCGAGTGCCGTTTTACACTCTTTTTCCATACCATGATCGATAATTAGGGGAGATATGTAATAATCAAAATACCAGTGTCGTCTTTCTCTGACATTGTCAAATACATAAAAGCAGCCATGACGTCAAATAGAATGGTGTCATTTTCTTAGTAATTAATTACATTTGATGATACTGCTAGTGATCCAATTATACAGGTGCAACATTAGTCAAATTACAATTGCACAATCAGGATAATGTTGGAATCTAAGGACTAATTTATGGTTTATATAGGGCCATCCATTTCGCTATTACTTATATTTTATGAAGTACAATTTCGTCATTTCTTATGGTTTTTTTTATGCCTAAACGTATACAGTTTCAATTTCGATATTTGTGTTGGAATAGTTTGGTTCCTCGTGAACAAAACACCACGAAAATGTATTGTCCTTACCCACAGCTAATTCTCGCCCCGAAATCACAGCAGCGCTTGTGTCAGTTAGAATCAGTACTTTGTTATCCAGAGAACTAGAGCATGAAGATGTGCAACAAGTATTCTGGACTGATAGCAAAGTAGTCATGGGCTACATGAACAATGACTCTAAGCGAGTCCATGTTTTCGTAGCCAATCGAGTGTCACAGATCCGTGAGAAAACTCAGTGGAAGTACATTGAGAGTGAGAAGAATCCTGCAGATGATGCATCTAGGGGTCTGACACCTCAAAAGTTATTGACCAAATCTGACTGGTTTAAAGGGACCCCACTTCCTCTGGAGCAGAGATGTACCTGAGCAGCACAGAGAGGTAGAATGTAGTTCGCTGACAACAGCTGATCTAGAAGTGAAGTGTGTCAAGAGTCTTGCGATGACAACTGGATCTGTTGGGTTTGATGTAGAACGATTTGAGCGTTTCTCAGATTGGATAAAATTAAAGCGTGTTGTTGCGATGTGCTTGAAACGAGAAAGGTGAGAATCAATTTGAAACAGAAGAGTGATGAGGTCTGTGAAACTAGGGAAAGTGTTGGACCATGTACTAATGTCACTGTGATGGACATGAAGGAAGCAGAACGTGAAATGTGAAACTTGTTCAACAAAAAACATATGGAGATGAGATAAGATTGTTGAGGTCTTTGAAGAAATATCCTTGTGCATCCAAAGAACTGATGAAAACAAGTTTCCTTGTACCACCTTGATCCTTTCTTGGATGATGCCGGTGTACTTTGTGTGGGAGGTCGAATCAGATGGTCGTCCGTCACTTGCAGCGAGAAACATCCAGAGATATTACCAAAAGGACATCACATGACCCACCTTCTTATCCGTTATTGTCATGAGACGACATGTCACCAAGGACGTAGAATGGCGACGAACGAGATACGGTCCAATGGTTATTGGATAGTCGGATGAAGCTCGGCAGTGTCTACTCACATATTCAAATGTGTGAAATGCAGAAAGCTTCGCTGTCAGGTCCAGCAGCAGAAGATGGCAGATCTACCATCCGAAAGAGTCAACCAATCACCACCATTCACCTACTGCCGAGTGGATTGCTTTGGACACTTTCTGGTTAAAGATCTTTTCAGACATTATTTGATAATATTTAGTTATAATTTGATCATGTTGATATTGAGATTCAAGTTGATGTGAGGTCTTACTTTATTGTAAGGGTTATGTTGCAATAATCAAATTTGATGTGAAATGTTATGAAGGATTATTATTTATTATCCAAAACTGGCTCCCACAAGAGATATGGCTTGTATGAGATCAAGCTGCAATGAAATTACATCACAATGCTTTGCAGACCATTGTGACATAACTGGTTACCATGACGTCACAATCAAATGACATCACTAATGGCTCTGCTACTGAAGCTTACAATGTAAGCAGTTATTTTACACTGAAGACACTGCTAATTATTGTCTACAAATTGGAAAAGTTGGAAGAATGATGTTGAATGATAAATAAATTCTCACCCTCGTGTCTTTTTATATCAAATATATAAACACTCATTGATAAAAGTGGCAAAAATCCTTGGCAAGCCTCGGAATTTTTCCACTTTTATCAACTCGTGTTGATATATTTGATATCAAAAGACACTCGGATGAGATTCTCTATATGTCGGTAGTCATTGTAGGTGAAAATGTGACGATGATGTTAGGCATTTAAAAATTGTAGCGGTAGGAGAAAGCGATGGAACGAGATATTCTTAGTGGTATGCCCAGAACATGTGTTTATAGAATTATCTCCCTTAGTAGGAAAAAACCGATTTGTTGTGATGAAAGCGCATGGTTGAGAATTGGGAAAACTGCGATGTTGGATGTAAATGAAGAGGAACCATGGTGTTCACGGAGTCTACGATGTGTATTTGAGTAACTATATTTGTTGTGTGATATGCGACGGCTCCCGTATTTGACATGCATCTGAATAAATCCTCGAACTTTGAATTTTGTGTTTACTGCGAGTTGCACGTGCGAATTCGTCCCTAGCGGGGTACCGCTATAGACATATTCAGGTAAGAAAATGTGAATATTACAATGATCACGTATTGAGGTCATTTACCACCTGTAAGCCACTCACTTGTGACACAATAACATTTATATCCTACATGTAAGAAAATGTGTGATTTTATTTTTATAGGACATGTAGCCTGTCTACAATATGTTAGTATTCGCTTATGTATATGATGTAGAAATATGTTTTACTTTAACTGGATACTCTGTATGCTAATGTGACTCATTGTCTTATTTCATATACTCACTTTACTCTGTGAAAATGATTAATAGCCTCAACTTATTTTTCCAGATGTGAAGAATCAAGAACAGATTTAATGACAGGGAAGTTTTGCATCAGTGATCATCGTGAAGTGGAAGATAAGACATTTTAAGGGTATGAACATTTTCATTTTCACTTGAACTAGTTGAACAATAACCATGATGACAACTTTATCATGTGGGAATTTTTGGTGGTGGGGTAGTATAGTGGTTGAAGCGTTCACTCTTCATGCTGAAGACCCAGGTTTGATCCAGTCACAGGTATTTTTTGTTGATTATTTACAGACTAACCCCATATAGCTCGATATTGGTGAGTGCGGTGTTAAACATGAAATAAAGCTTACAGCCGCATACTAACTCAATGTGGGGATTCCGGGTTGAAATTGGTCCCCATCAACATGACCTATGCTAGTTGTAAGAGATAACTTAATGGATCGGGTAATCAGGCTCGCTGACTTGTTTGATCCATGTCAGCGCGTCCCAATTGTGTGGACCGATGCTCATGATGTCAATCACTGGATTGTCTGGTCCAAACATGATTATTTACAGACCGCAGTCATATAGCTGGAATATGGCTGCGTGCAGAGTTAAACAACAAACACCAACATGATTCTACAACCTGCTCTTGTGGATACCATTTTGAGGATCCTACACATTACTTCTTTTCAAGTCGTAACTATTGCATTAATATGTTCTACTGCATGTGTTTTAAACATATTTATTTCAAAATGAATGGATTTGCAAACAAGCCGATGACTTATCTAAATGCTGCTCAAATACAAAATAAGTTTTATTAAAATACTAATTCTATACTAATGCAATACTGTCAGTTGAGCAGTAATGTAATCATCTGATTATAAGTAGATAATTGAAGGAGAAGTCCATATTAATTAATTAAATCTACCAGATTCTGAGATAAATGCATGTTTTGATTGAATTATTTCAATGTTTTCTTGTACATAATTTACTACATTACCATATAAAGCTTTCTTATATCCTATCCATGCTGTATAATAATACATATTATTTCTAATAATGGCATAATTTGGACACACAAATAAGTAATGAATGGTATTTTTATAAGTGGTGCCACAAGTGCCTGACAGGTCATTTGACATGAATCAGTTTTTATGTGAATTGAAATCACTGCAAGCTAATCTGAGTCATGAAAGGATATGACTTTGTTTCTGTGAAAATGGAAATGCTAAATATATCTCCCGATATTAACAATGCCATTACAGAATCTGTTCACTTGTTTTTGTACGCAAAATATTTTTGAACAATTAGATCAATCTAATGATTGTTTGTATGTGTGATATGCCGGTATGTAGAGGTATATGTGTATAAGCCTGTACATACGAGTATAAAAATTATGTATGTCTGGCTATGTACCAGTATATGCATGTGTTTTTATGTGCACCTTGTATATTAGCATCATGATAGTTTCTACAGTAGGTACACTTAATCTACACTTATGGTTTGCATACAGTTTATGTATATCAAACGTTAAATGTCCTTGTAGGGAGAATTGAACATCAAAACTGTCATTATTTTATATCTGATAAGTAGAACTTTTTAAATAGAAAAAAACTATTATCTGGCAAGATACATTTCCTTGGTCCCCAGAAACATGTTACATAGTAAACTGACTTGATAAGTAGCATAGCAGTGTGTGGTTGGAAACTAACTAAGCTGTCACTACTCAATTAAGTAATGAACCGACAATTGCAAGTGATAATACCCACCCGACACTAATTGCCCTGTTGATCCTTAATCCACAATGAGTTTACACTGAGTTCATCTTGCTAATGAGCTGTTGTGAGCGTTGCGAGATGATAAACATTCAAAGGTGGGGCAGGCTTTGATCATGTGTTCAAGGCCGCCCTTGAGATTATCAGACAGTTTGTCTGGATACAGCCTGATGTCTCAACTGTTCTTATTGGATTCTCCCTTGTAGCAAACTATGTGTGTAACAAGGACTTTGACCACTCTGTGCAGATGCATAACATTGCATAACAATGCATAAAGAACTTTGGGTATGATTCAATTATGTCACTCAAGTCAAAGTTGGGTTCCATTGTATTCAGAAACAGACGATATATCCAATACTATTTAACTTTTTAACAATCAAATGAGTATTCGAATAGGATAAAACACATATATTTACAATTGCCCTTGAAAAGTTCCAAAACCGAAAAGAAGGACTTTAAGTATGATTACACTTTGCCAGACCAATATATTTGGCAGTTTTTCCTGTTATTGTTAATCTTCATTAACTTAATTCTCAAAAACGATAGGATAAATGATAAAAATATGATAATGGTTTTACTCATGAATATTGCCAGTAGCCAAATTACAGTCAGAACAAACAGGGAGGGCAACCCAAAAATATGACAGTCTCTAGGGGAGGTTTATGAAAAACGGATAATAAAATATAAAGTGCTTTGCATTTTTCCTTTTCAGGGAGAGTTGTGTAAAAAATGTAGAAGAACATACCAGTACATGACCGGTCCCTTAAATGTAATAAACATAGTTTTTAGTTGATGGTTCAGGTGGTTCTTTTCAGTTGAATTTTTTTTATCAGTGACTATTTTGGCCTACCAATTAATGGTAGATATTAAATATCAATAATAAGTGAGATAATTATTTCCAATGTGGCTCCCATTGCTACTAAAGCAAGGAACGATTCAAATTAAGCCTGATTCAGCTGCAACATTGAAATGTATTTGCTCTTCTAATCAGTAATTCAATCAGTTGTATAGTGACTTGATATTTGGCGAATATATCTGTTGAATGAAATCCTCATGTTTCTTTCTTTTGTATTTGTATGGGTAAAGCGTTCGTCGAAGCCCTAGGTTCTGTTCCCCACATGGGTACTCTGTGAAAAGCCCATTTCTGGTGTTCCCGCAGAGATATTACTGGAATATTGCTAAAAGCCTTGTGAAACTATACTAACTTCCTCACTCATTATATAGTATTTTGAGATCGCTTACATGACTTGTGTGATTGAAAGTTTTGATAATTATGAATAGTTCTGTTTTTATGTATAAGAACCTATTTTATGCAATTTTGCATTGCCTTGTTTACCCTTCCTTTTTGATGTAATGCAAACAAACGAGAAAAAATTCAGGTGAGCCTTTTGGCACTACAGGAATTGTTTTTAGAAGATCAGATACAATTTTGTATTTTCTGTAAAATTTACGGTTTGCTATGGCTTATTTACATGTTCTAAGATTGGTTAACATGGTTAAATATCAGTTGCTTGATAAATTGTCATTACCTTACTTACCCTTTGTCAATATATGTGTGTTTCTTATTTTTATAATATCAAGCTTTTAAAGATGCTATCAATTGTTTCAGGTACCTGGATTTCATAGTGACACCAGTTCAGACAAGCCATACAAAAGACTCATCGGATGATGAATATTCCACCCCAGAACAACCAACAGGTTCACCTCAGAAAGTGATAATTCTGACTGAATAATGCCACATCAGTGTGATTCTGTGGGTTGTTTTATTACGACACTAATCAAGTCTGAAGGAATTAATACCACAGTAGTGTGACTATGTTTATTTGGTGTACACCAACGATGACTTTTGTGGTTTACTGCACAAACACAATTGACATTAGATATTCTTCTATCTTGAAATTCTTCTGAGATTTAACTAATTTGTTTATTTAGAAAAAGGCATTGAAGCGTCTGTTTCTGTTTTTGAAAGTTCTTGCAAACACCACTGGTTTCAGAACCAATGAAATATCATAAAATCAATAAATATGATTTTTTATCTAAACAAATTCTTTGTTTTGCTTCATTAGCATAAAGAAATATAATATTGATCAACCATAACATAGGTGCTGAACATATATCAAATATACAAATGCCCTGAATATTTTCCTACAATTAATATAGCTCATTGAACAATGTTTTTTTGTTCCATGTCAGTAGAAAAAATACATTGATATTTCTATGTACTGGTACCTTATTAGTTGTTTTCTGTGGATGCCACTAGTCTTTTGCACCTATTTGGGGCAATTATATTCTGTTTCAAACTTCAATGACACTCGTCTGTCTAGATGTAACAAGTATTCATACTGTTCCAAAATAATCTCTTAATCTCACCAGGAACAAAGGCCCAAGTGAGCACAATTTCAATTTTTTGTCAGAGTAAGCATGGTGTTTTGGCACTTTGAGCAATATTCCAACAATATCATGATGGGTGACACCAAGCAATGGGCTTCACACATTGTACCGATGTGGTGAATCAAATGCTTCAACCACTAGGCTAGAACAAACTGGGAATATGAAGATGAAATGTGAGGATATCAGCATACCAGGACTGATAGTTTTTCATTTAATATGCTGAACATCTAAAATGAAATATATATGAAATTGAAAAATGTTTTCACCAAAAGTACATGCCCATAGATCTCAACTTTAAGGGGATATTTACAACTGAAATAACACGGAATATTACCACAGCTATCTGATATGCCCAGGCTAACATTATTTACTAGAAAAAAGACATCTCGAAAAATTGCATCCGGATACCTTCAGCAATGAATGTTAAATTTTCTTGGTTAGTTTCTAACAAATTTTTAGGTGTTTCACTCTTAATTGAACGAAATGCACCCCCAAATTGTGACATTTTTTTTAAAACTCAGAATGAGGTATCCGGTGGGGTATCCGGTGCCAGATCCTTGGACACCCAGATTGAGGTACCCAGTGCCGGATACCTGGATTCCAGGAGGCATGCTTTCCAGTGAGGTGTCCAATTCCGGATACCACGGATCTAGTATCTGGCAAGGTATCTGCCACCGGATACCGGGGTGTCCGGAGGTATCGCGAAAAGATGAGCATATTTTGCCGGGACAGTGTCACTTATGGAATTTTGTAGATGTAAGATACAATCTGGTGAATCTGAAGTAATCTTTAATAGTTATATTCCTCTTGTTTGTTTAGTCTTGTAGATCTTCCCTTCGAAGGTATAATATAATTTGACGATTCAGACAACATCATAAGCCCGTGTTTATCAATCACTTGTGAATATACTCAAATAGTGAATATGCTCAAATAGTGGATATACTCAACTGGTGGATATACTCCCATTGCTTTACATTATGTTTGTAACAGTCATGTTTTACATTGATCTTCTTAATATTCTCCTACTAGCTTTAAATACAAAATCGTTAAGTGACACAACGTGATACCATCGACATGTTTTTATATGACAAACGTATAACTTAATGACGTGAAATTTTGACACACTCTAGAAGCGACTAACGGGATCGGGTGGTCAGGCTCGCTGACTTGCTTGATGCATGTCATCGTATCCCAATAGCGAGGATCGATGCTAATGATATCAATCACTGGATTGCCTGGTCCAGATTCGATTATTTACAGACCACCGTCATATAGCTGGAATTTGCTGAGTGTGGCGTTGAGCAACAAGCAAACAAACATTCATTAAATATATCTGAATGCAAACATGTGGCACATGCTACCACAGTTGAAACTAGTCGCTGATGTAGACATAGCATGTCAAATTTCAAGACCATCTGAAGGGATGAGAGTACTAATCTTACCTTGGGGAATGGTGGCCCACTCGGCCTGTAGTCCTACCGTTGTGAGCCGTGCTGTGTGTGCACAGGCCCCTGAAGCAGGATAGTGATACAACCTAAACACTGGTCCCATATATATAAATAGACAAGGTTACGTCACTCGCCACCGAAGTTGAAATCGGGTGTATCGTTTACATTTTAATGGAAATATATGCATGTCATGTTCACGATACCTCCCCACCTCCCTCCAAATACGACCTGCATGCCACAAACCTTCATTTTTGGCAATTTATTACGTATATCGAGTGATTTTATCGAAACACTGGCTCAGTCGCGGCTGTGGGTCACGGAAATATACAAAAATCTCCGCACTCAGTGGCTTCGAACGCTCTGATTGGTATCCCCAATGTGCGTTTGTTACGGTTGGAGCGCGGACCACACCGCACTCGACGCCATTGAGCGCGGAGATTATTTGTTTACTTCCCTGACCCACAGCCGCGACTGAGCCATTCTTGGGTAGTGAAATGCACGGGGCTTTCATAAAAGTCAACTTTTGTATTGAATGCATGCTTTTCTGTAGCAGTTGCGTTTTTGTGACTTAATGCCATACATGTACTACAATATTGAAAACCAAACTTTACTTGTTTGAACAATGCACTAAAATATTGGTGTCACAGGAACTTTGGTTGTTGAGTATATATGTGTCCAGTGTTTCAGTTGTATCACTTTCCTGCTTTAGGGGCCCGTGTGTGTGTGTGAGCTATTGCGTTATGCCAGTGCCAGGTACGACAGTCTGCGGCTTAGGCGACACTTTTTTATTTCTTGGTTTACGGATGCGCCGCTCTTACAAAGTCCAAATGTTAAAATTACCCTTTTTTTATTACCGCCGATCTTTTAGTCAAAAAGTTCAAACTAAAAAAGATTTCATTTCCTCGTCGAGCGTAAAGCAAAGGGAAGTCACTCTGATATTTCTTGCTGGGATCCTTCTCTAATACCACCAAAGCTTGTCAACGCAAAGTGCAGTGGTGACAAGTTTAACTATTTCAACACTGTTGGCCGGTCAAGAAGCCACGAGTCACACCGCAGGGTAGACCGACCAAGTCACATCAAAATAGTTTATAATGTTATTGACCTACTTGTCATATCATTCATTTACTAAATCTATCACATTTCACTATGTCTGAAATACGTATTCCATTTGATTTTATCATTTTTTATCTATAGATTAAAAAATTATTCACTGGACACTGTTTCCCGAAATGTTAGTGAAAATAAATTCTCGGAAACACTTCGACAACGGGTCCTCATCAAACATGTCCCACAGCAAAATAAAGACGTTTCAAGCAAATCTTTGAATATATTATACAAAGTAATAAAATCTACAAAAAAATATCTGAAAGTTGCCAAACTGACATCTAAGTTATTATTTCCATCTTTTCGTGCGATCGCGTGTTATGGTAAGTCAAATGACATCTCGGCTTTCGTCGCCTCGATTTCTCGGCTCGGACTCCATGTCTTTAATGCCAAAATATATGCATAAGAAATCTTTGTCACAGCTTGTAACCTAGATCTATGCATCTATAAAGTTCCATATTTTTAATATAGATCGCGATTTCATGCTTAAAACGTTCAGAATAACATGATTTAACCCAAACCTTCCGCCAAAGTCTGAAAATTACCGTTGCTGTAATTTGATTGGCTTCCTTAGGTCACGTGCTTAAATTTGACCAATCACGAACCTTGTAGCAGATTATGTCGGTGAAACAATGTAAGTTTTTTTAATGTATACCGACATGGCAGCCTTCGACGTATGTGTTATTCATACGAAGCTTTGAAAACGGAGGTATCATTGAGAAATGGGTGATGACAGATATTATTTGTAATTCTTTTTAAGATAATGTTCCATTAACGTAAACAAATGAAAATAGAGAACAAACAAAAGAAATAGGTAAGTGCATTTTATGAAATCTTATATTTGCCGAAAATCGTGAAATTTTAGCTTCATTGGTCCTTAATCTGGACGTTATAGCTTACATTATTTTTATTTAAAACGAACTTTATTAAGTTGTTAATGAATTATTTACATAATGCCATACACATAACTTTCATATTTATAAACAATAGGATTAATTAGACCTTTCAAATAGTGTATGGCCAAACATACAAGATGTTTTGCAAGCAGATAATTTCATTGATAAATGTTGGCTTCATCTATCACACAAGAGTCTCTGGGAACTTGGTGTCACAGCAGTAATCTTCTGGTTGCTCGTGTTGAAAGAGTTAAACGTTGCCCATGCTGCAAAAATAGCAGCGTCTTTCATGCATTTCCACCCATGACATGAATATTGTTATTTTGCCATTTGTGCACAAGCTGAGTACCAGGGATATAATAAAATGTTCTTAAAAAATTGAGTTATTTTACTTTTGTTACTCAAGGATATTTTTTTTCATACCTACCTAACTTTTGAGGACAAAATACAAGTAAAAGAAACGTGAGAGGCTTTTTTTTTTTTTTTTTTTTTTTTAAATTGGCCGCTCACTTTTGAAATGAGTTTGAAATCCGTAAACCAAGAAATAAAAAAAAGTGTCGCCTTAGGTTGACATTGTCACATCCATCCAGCCAACTCATCGAGAGGAACCGGAATATAGATGTTGTGTAGGTTTGCCGTTGTGAGTCCTGCTGTGTGTTATCTGACATTATCACGCTGGAATACAGCTTTAGTGTTCTGACGAAGGGTATTCTCAAGTTGAAATAAAATGTACGTTATGTTAAATCATCATCGTCGTGCGTGTATCGGGGGGAGAGACAAGATATTGATCTACACTCCCAGACATTTATCGTCATTGCATCTTCACTGTCCATTCATCAGTTCCCTTATTTTTTGTCGGTATTATGTGTATGTATGTATATATATATATATCATCCTGTATGGGTTTCACCCGTGAAGATCCGGGGTAGAATAGGTCTTCAGCAACCCATGTTTGGCTGTGAAAGGCGACTAAGCTTGTCGTAGGAGGCGACTAACAGGATAGGGTGGTCAGACTCGCTGACTTGGTTGAAGCATGTCATCGTATCCCAATCGTGTGGATCGATGCTCATGATATCAATCACTGGATTGCCTGGTCCAGATTCGATTATTTACAGACCGCTGTCATATAGCTGGAATATTGCTGAGTGCGGCGTAAGACAACAGACCAACCAACTGTAAGGGTTTACTTGTCAGAGTGAAAGCATCATTCTTTGGAAACTTAATAATTAGCCTCGTTCAGAATAGGACCCCAGCATCCCATTCCTGTTGGAGACAGGCCATTGAATTGGATCTGGACGCCAGGCTCTGCGACTTGGCTGATTGCAGGTCATCATGAGTGATTGTGAGGATTGTTGTTTACGTTTCCAGTCATTGGGTTGCCCTGTCCATAATAACAAAACCACAAGACATATATCTGGGCCTTTTATCACAAAGCAATATGATCGGTATTCCGGTTAGAACACACGTGAAAAAAAGATGGTGGACCAAACCTCGTTTTTAATACGCTACTCAAATACCCCAGCAGGAAATACGCCTGAGACCCGATTGAACCCAATGATTTTTACGACCAAGAAAATGTATTGTCACGCCAATATAAGCCAAAGTTAAATTTCAATCTGATTGGCCAAATATGGTGCAATGGCATGGACATGTACATGTAGTCAACAGTTTAAGATGTCAACAAGGGCAGCATCTCAATAAAATTTCTGTCAGCATTGCACCTTAAATAGTTCCTGCATGAATACTGAGGACAAAAGTATGGAATGAATGTACATATATTTTGTCAAACATTGTTGCACCGTGTACGACGTACACCTGTTAAATTTATTTTACACTAAAGTTCCAACACGGAGACTCTTTCTCAGGAGAATCGCTTCTCTAAAACCATACAATTTCCAATTGTTCGACAAAAGCACTAAAATCCTAACAAAATATGTAAAACAAAATTTCATGTCATGATGAGGAGACACATACATGCCAAGGTTAAGCTTCGACTGTGAGGATATGTGAGGAAAAGGTGCTTTAAGGGCCAAAAACGCATTGGGAGAAAAAACAAGAGCACCAGTTTAATTTTGAGCAAAAATTGCTGAGCAGTAGCCATAAATAGTCTTTTTCAATATGGCTAATACTGCAGCAGCAATAATGAAAACTCCGATTCGAGCCTTTTGAGCAAAGGAAGGGCATCGTTGATAAGATGAAAAAAGTGAAGTTTAAGCTTCATTGGTCTACTGGTTTCTACAAAGAGTGTATTCACAGAGCAGAGACTGGATCTTGAGAAGAATTAGTTAGAGGCATGGTCAGTGTGCAAAGGTCAGATCAACGTCAAACTTCAATAATTTTTTAATTTGAAGTTAACACGACACACGGCTTTTCCACTGGACGAGAGGTCAGTCACATGACCGCGAAATTGACGTTCATAAGTGTATGAACGACACAATTTGACGTTCATACGTTTTTCACGAGATCGTGTTCTTGAAATGACGTAAACACTGACGGACTACTTCCACATTCCTTGGGAAACCCCTGGGAATTCCCTAGCACAAACATACATAAGGGTTCTTTCTGATCATTTATAACCTTTATTCTTGGTCTCAGCGTTTCAGTATACAATGAGAAATGTCAGAGTGCGTGACTGTATGATTGTTCACGAATATCCTCGCTGCGGCCTATCCTAATGAACAAACGAAGAAATGCACATCTAAACTATCATAGTATCGACTCTATCCGTGCCTTGGCTGACACTGACCGTCTCCAGCAATCTATGAATTTACCTTAGTGCCCGTATGACGCATCTTTATTCACCTTCCCGAGGCAAGAGAGTTAACTGACTTTAAAAGTCCAGTTTCCACTCTTGCCGAACTAAGCTGGAATTACTGGGCTCGATCGTAGCGCCACCAGTGGCTATTACCAGTTATATCCCTCTAAGCCTCTCCTATGGACCAATCAGATTCCACTTCTCGTGTCACTTGTGTTTGCTTCACATACAATGGTGTCGCCCAGTCAGGACGATCTGATCGGTAATGAAGATCTATATTGTGATAAAACGGGTCTTACATAGTGAAATGCATCAAATCACGTGAGCACCTTGATTAAAACCATGAACAAATTTGGAAAATATCTGCTGACAACGAGTTGGTGGTGCACATCTGTAATCGACCGAAATCTGCACGACAGTTTACGAACCGGATTTCGATTTCAGTGCGCGATTTTGATTGGACTACGCATAGACTCGTTAGCCCAGCCAAAATGTAACTCCATAATACCAGCCTAGTTCGGCAAGGGTGGAAACTTGACTTTTAAAGTCAGTTAACTCTCTTGCCTCGGGAAGATGATCAATGATGACTAACACATGTTACTGCCACATGTTCAATAACAACTTCGGAAATCTCTCCCGTCAGGTTTATCGTGTCAGCCATTTTGACGTCTTGTACTTGATGTAAATGTATTACGACGCGCTGTCATTGTGACTGACTTACTGAGGTAGTTCAGTGTAAACATGAAGTCACCCGTACTAAATGAAATTGTGTTTAGATCTTGGCCTACATCCTTTGAGGTAAGAAATTGTGATAAAATGTTTTATAAGAATTGACTTTCACTTTGTGTGAGTTCATTGGAGTCTGAACCTTCAAAGAAGACAGGTTGGTCCTCACTCAATGAAGGTTCAACTCCAGCGAACTCACACAAGGTGAAGGTCATTTCATAAATATATCGCGGAAAACAGAACATATATCTTAAGACACACTACTAACATTTTCCTACTTTCATTATATTTGGAACAAACATGACAAAATAATGGCCTTTAATCGGTGTTTCAATATGTCAATCGTGGCTTCCATACAACAAATCAGATTCAATTTTAAACAAATATTGGTATCATCAATGGTGGGAGCAAGCATGTCCATTGGTTTCAGATGAGATTTGTACAGAATATAGAGCGCATCGTCACAGTATTAAGGATCATGGTTTGCATGCCAATGTACCCCCGCCTGTATGGGACGTTGTATAAAAATATCAATCACAGGTGTTCCTGGTCCAGACTCGACTGTACAGCTGAAATGTTCCTGCCAGTAGTGTAAACCAACAAACAATGGTGTCACCAATCGGAAATAACAAAAGTCAGTGTGGATAACTGACAGACAGCATCATGCAGAGACCAGTCTCGACCTTTGAGGCCATCAAATTGCAGATCATCCTAATCGTGTCATGAAGGCTATACACAGACAGTGGATGCATAATGCAAATCCAACGGCTATTGGCGTGGCACATGAACTTTATGAAGCATGTGAAATTGTGCTCTTCTATATGCATACAATCTGTTTATTCTGTTGTAAATTTGACGTAATGTTTTAGATGCAGTGATTATACCTTGTTTTGATTCTTCACATGTGAGAAGAACATTTTGGGTCTCTCCTGTCATGATAGAATATATTGCTAGAAACGGCACAGAATTCATTCACTCATAGATTCGATGATCTTTATGCTGTCATGAGAAATCCACGCGAATGAGAACACAAACAGTTTTGGGGAAAGTATTTTTAATTTTAACTCCAGATTGAAAAAAAATCCTCGAAGAACATCATGTGATGTGTTCGATAACTAAAGCGTTTTATAAACAAATTTTATATTATAATGGATAGATATGCAATAATGAGAGAGAGAGAGAGAGAGAGAGAGAGAGAGAGAGAGAGAGAGAGAGAGATGATCTATCTAAAATGTGGAAGTAAGATTATCCTTATTTGCTGCTTTTGATGATGTCCGCCGCCTTTTCTCCAATCATGATGCTCGGGGCATTGGTGTTCCCTGACACGAGGGCCGGCATGATGGAGGCGTCCGCGATTCGCAGTCCAGCAATATCCTTTACTCTGAAAAATATTTAATTGAAACCGACATTCAGATTAAAGTGACGACTTTGATTCAGCACGGACACGTCACAACCTCAACCTCTTTACACCTTCATCGTCATTCGAAATTCGTAAAACGAAAAACGAACTACTTTGCTTTTCCTCCTCCAACATACACATTTCTCCAATATTGAGACAGTCAGTTAGTGCATGTTCGACCAACGCCCGACAACATTTAGGACATCACATTCTACATAAACCATAAACCGTTTGAAAGACGAATAGTGAACTAAATTTTGGTTTTCCCGTCACAGCTTGGTGTGTTTATCAGGCAGCTTGGTAACATAGCTCTCATACGTTTGCTATTTGCTAAATACATTTACAAACTAATAGATATTTTGAATACCAACATTACACGAAGGCAAGTTTACCCGCGTCCATCAGTCTAGCACGGAACGATCCCAAAAGTATTAAATGTGTGAGTGAGTATGGTTTTACGCCGCTTTTAGCAATAGTCCAGCAATATCACGGCGGGGGACACCAGAAATGGGCTTCACACATTGTACCCATGTCGGGAATCGAACCCGGGTCTTGGGCGTGACGAGCCAACGCTTTAACCACTAGGCGACCCGACCGCCCCAAAAGGATTAAAAGAATTATGGTTTTACGCCGCTTTGAGCAATAGTCCAGCAATATCACGGCGGGGGACACCATAAATGGGCTTCACACATTGTACCCATGTCGGGAATCGAACCCGGGTCTTCGGCGTGACGAGCCAACGCTTTAAACACTAGGCTACCCGACCGCCCCAAAAGGATTAAAAGAGTTAGCTGAATGTCCAAGAAAGTTGCTGGTCTCTGATGTGATCAGAGCTACAAAAATTCAAGGTGATATTCATGTAGTTGACCTGTAGACAAACAAATCCTGGAGATCATTTTAGATTTGTGAAAACAAAATGTAACATGATTGTATTTGTACAAACGAAATAGAATAGTTGAAGTTTTCCATATTTTCCCACCTCAGTTGAGGATCCACCACTGTAGTTGGGTCGCTTGGTTTCCCCATCTTGCAAGTGGTGTTCGGATGAAAGGTTGTTGTAGCCAGGGCCCGGACGTAACACTCCCAGTATTCATCAGTGTCATACTTCATAGTGTTGCATGTCGGGAAGGGTGTGTCTTCAAGCTGGGCTCCTATTTCCTTGAATGCCTTTGTCTGATGAAGTTTCTGGACGATGCGAACACCTGTTGTACAGAAATGTTTTTTAAATACTGATCCATCTGATATTCCAAGGTAAAGTGTTGACCGAAGCGTTATTAATTCAGTTTGACTATCTGTAGTTAAAAAATAGTCTGAAATGGTGTATAAATGGTATTTACACTCGTAGAAAAGTGCCAATTTCATGAACAAAATTGTGAGCGTGAATTCTAATTCTACTTCCGGTGTTAACTTTGTTCTGGCTGTGAGACATCTGCAATCTACTTATGGATGGACAAATATACATGATCCCTTATAGATGATATTGCCTCATCTGAACTAGATCCATAGCAAAAGATGCTGCGTTGCCTGCAGTATGTTCTTGTTAAAAAAATATACTTCAAATGGTAAAGTTGTTACTTTACCAGAAGTATGTCCCCATTAAAAGTAGTTGGTTTACTCGAATTATGACCCTGTTATAAGTGATCCGTTTACCCGCAATAAGACTTTGGTAAAAGTAGTTGCTTTGCCCTTGAAGGCCCTGATAACTGGAATTATTTTCACCTCTAACTAAAGTCTTGGCATCATCGGGATGAGACAGGTAGTTTGGCTCGATGATAGGATGCTCAAGTGGGTTTGTGCTTCTCAGGCGGATTGTCCCCATGCTCTTTGGACGGAGTAAAGTTGGGAAGATTGTGAAACCTTCTTCAACAGACGTCCAGTTGAAATGAGCAACTATCTAAATAAGAAGTAGATGATCGTTATATAAGGTAAGGGACGTTTCAAAACATGAGCGTTTATGTCGTGTCAGTGTGCTTGTGTAGTCCGTCCATACGATCTTCCCTGAAACCACAAGGCCTATTAATTGATTACCACAGCTACGGTGCTCTTACAGTGCCCACAGAATTAATTATAAAAGATATGTAAAGCTGGTCACATGGCAGTTGTGTTAACAATGTCATTTTTGCCCATTGCTCAGCCATAAATGCATGTATCATTATAGTATTGGATAAGCAGAAAGTATGTGGTACGTCAAATAACGTCATATTTTGTTGGTTGTGGTTATATTTGACACATATACAACCCATGACCTTTATGTTCCAATTACAATTATTCACATAATCGAGGCACGGGGACACTCAATCAACACAGTCTTTATAACTGTGCCCGATTTGGTCGGCGTTTATACCGAAGACTGGACCCATGGATACTGGGAACATATTGTGATTCCTGTGGAAATGAAGCACTCTCACCTTTTGGTCAATGTTAAGCAGACGGGCCAGACTTTTTGTCCATTGAAGCACAGATAAAAAGAAACTGAACGTCTAGACTAGGTTCCTAGGATTTCGTCTTCACAAACGCCATGGCTTCCAGACCGCCGCTTGATGTTAAAAGACCTACAGTGAAAGGCAAGTTATAAGCTGTTAGTGGTTGAGCAAGTACCTACTAAGGAAGGTGTGATTTTGGAACCGTCAAGGAAAGATGTTTGCTGGACAGTAAGCAATATTATAATTTCACAATGGCGGCCTTCAAAATGTATCCTCCGATCATGTTTTGGACGTCACACGTTTGTAGACAACCATGTTTATCTTGAGACAAAAGAGGTTGCAACTCGAAACACTTCCAGGCTGAAGAAACTTCCTCGTCTGATTCTTCCAAAGGAGAGTACTTTTATAAGAATATGATTACCTCACATACCTCAAATATTTATGTCAGCATAAAAAGAGTCTGCTTATTTAAATCAGTGACGATTTGGCGCATTATGGTCTTCATATTTACTTTTTAGTCGAATTCTTAATGGAAATCTTTTGGGCCACTCTTTTTAACAGATATGTTTGCATTTTTTAAAAAGATTTAATAATGTAACTTTTTTTCTCTTCCTTTAAAACATGGAAAGGATTGCTATGGGAATTACACTTCTGAACCTTAAAGTAAAGCATGTGATGATGTCAATGAAGATGGTATTTCAGTCCGCAATGCAGCTTTTAACTTTATCTCATTGAATCAAGGGGTATCTTGACAATAAATGCTTCAAAGTCTGGACCTTCACCATTTCTATCTTATGCGGAGAATAGCAGTCTGGTGAACCAGAAAGACTGCATACCTGGAACGTCTGGGACTGTAATTGGTTCAGGATGCTCCAATAGTATTAATCTTCAAAGGTATATTACGATTTGTGCCAAGCAGGACCTGATTGACTACTCAAATATAGAAATACCCATTCCTCTTTTACTGGATTCTAAAATCCGACCAAAGAGACCTATTTGCTGGGTCCAGCAAATGTACCACCGTCGCCCCATGTCAAAGATTAACCATAATCCTTAAAACAAACAAGGAAGGAATTTCGTTATATACTCAGAAATATTCGATATACACATATAAGTGGAATTAATATCAAATCAATTCTCAAAGACTCAAAGGATTTGCATTTGACTTTTAGCAATTGCAGCAAAAAATCACTGAGTTCAATTATGTCAAAACAAATTTCGTATGAGGTGAGGTTATTTGGGTTTAAGAATATACGTTCAAGATTATTGTACTTAAATAGCAGATGGTCAACTTTCCCTTGATGTCGAGCAATATCCGAGTAGCTCCAGCCTTTGGTGCCTACATTTTAGGATATTGTGGTCGAATCTCTGAAATTACTGCGAAGTTCTTATGACTCCGGAAGACGTTTCCTCGCTTTTACTTATGATGCATATATTGTCCACCTCACAGTTTCTTTCATTAGACAGGCCAAGGAGATGGTGCGAGGCATACAGAATTCGTAAATAATGGGTAGAAGTGTTTTTGTTTGATAAAAGTGTTTGACTACATACAGTCTAAACTGAACATGAAAATACACACTAAAATTCGTTCATTTGGGGATACATGAGGGATATATGCTTGAATAAATCCTTGTGGGAAATATATCTTACCTGATTTCAATGCACGATATTTGATTAAAGCAAGTGTTGACTCTAATTTCTGTTTCGTGAGGGAAATAGGCTTCTGAAGTTTCGACACCATGTTGAGGAACATGTGATCCTGTAAGCTTTCACCAACTGGGAGGCTAGCTTGAACTGGAATCTGTATATTGAAATACAAGTGACAAAAGCATTTCAATAATTGTAAGAAATCACACTAGTCCACTGTGTGATTCCGACCAATTCCTAAGCATGTGTTCATAAGAACATCATAGAGTGGTGACACTATAGGTTCGAGGAAACGTGGCACCTATCACAAACCCGTCAGAAACACATGCAAAGAAAAGACAATAAGTAATAGCCTTAGGCACACCTGTACTAACAATGGATGGAAGTTACTGGTTCTCTTGCATTAGAGATCAGAAAGTCAGACTTGTTGAACACAAGGGATGATGAAAGCTGATCGTATTTGTGTATTTGAGTTGTTGTTAAATCGGTAAGTCGCTTCTTAAGACCAACATAGGTTGCTGGGGATCTATTCTTACCCGGAATCCTCATGGGGACATGAAGAAGAAATATAAGTTATGTTTTCATTCTATAACACACTTGGGACTTTAGTAATCTGACTGTGTATTTTGTTTCAGCTCATTAAGGTATGAATCGAAAAACCGATGTGCAAACTGTATGAATCTGCGTAAATTTGACAACGGAAACATCTACAATAGTTTAACCAAAAACAGGTGTATATATCAAAGCAGACAAAAATGACGACGTTGATAAACATTCCAAGTGTAGGAATACATAGTGTGACGTGACATGAATCAGGTGATTGTTTATTTAATGCACATAACTTGACACGCTTACAAAGTAAAGTAGGATCAAAACAATGTTCATAGGACCTGTCAATCAAGGCAAGAGGCGAGAAGAATCCCCACGGGGAAAATGAAAAAGAAATATAAGTTGTATGTTCGTTCTATAACGTAATAGTAGTAATCTACAACATGAAAAGTAGTAATCTACAATATGAATTGACAATTGGTACTTTTAGAACAGAAGATGAAGGCATGTCTCTCTATAAGAAGTAATTAAAGAACTTATATCTTATTCACGCTCAAGGTACAAATTAAAGAGCAAAATCTCACACTAAACAAATAAATTGTTATTTAATCTGACACAACTCAGACGCATGAGTTGGTTTAAGAGCATAAAGTAGCCGTCCAATCAATTTACACTCATAGGTTAGTGACAGAGGACAGGAGATGGTAACATCACTTCTGAAAAATGTGGTGAATGGATCCAGGTTATTTATCATTACAGAATGGAGATATACTATACTAGATGATCGTGGATGTGCTCATTGCGGCATTAGACACAACACACATAAATCTACAATAGTATGCAATGTCCAAGCCAAACGCTCATCATGTGTAATAAAACTGTCCAGTATATTGACGTCGTCATTCCTTATACATCTTTTCTTGATCAATTCTCTTCTGGCAGTATACGCTCACCTTTTCACGAACACCTGGTATCATCACTGTTTGAGAGCGATTCATAAACACATGCTCAGGAAAAAGAAGGAATCGTACAGTCGACTCTCCTTTTAACAGATATGCCTTATGATTATAGAAAGGGTCTTGTGGATTATATTTGAAAAATGGTTAACCAAAATGTCATGAGCCATATTCTTAGTGTAACCTGAAGCGACCCTTGACCATACACAAAGGTTACTCTAAAACTAATGTGATTAAGGCACTACAAAAGAATGTCTGTGAAGTTTCGTAATATTCAAATCATAGAAAGGTTGCAGTGGCCTTGATATCACCTACTGCTGTGTCTGAAATTGTTCCCAGGGATAAATGTAACATCTGTTATAAGCGTGCAGCGTCTGTGGTGTCAATGTGGGCAAACTCTTTTCAATCTCGGTTTGTGTGGGCGTCTTCCAAAATATGCTGACACAGCATGATGTTACCGAAATATTGTTCAAAGCAGAATTATTCCAAACACATTCACTCAATAAAAGCAACTATATCACACGGACGGTGATTGCATGATTAGGACAGTGTTTACTGTGACATTATACTGGATGAAAACTAATAAGCTTACATCTGTGATGTTTCTGGAGAGTACAGCAATCCGATCTACTAATTAAAATTGTAACATAAATTGCATGAAGAGATCGATGCTTATTTCTCACCTTCATCTTCTCCAAGTGTTTCTTTGGCACGATCCCTGACAGCAACAGCAGCTGTGCCGATCCAATTGCACCAGCTGACAAGATTACCTCCCTTGAAGCACGAACTCTGTACAGGCGGCCATCTTTGACATACTCGACACCAACTGCCGTCTTCTTGTTTATCGTTACCTGGTGAAAACAATTGGCCAGTTTCAGTACTGAATAAATGTTTGATGTATGTACGAATGCGTATCCTAGAGGAATGTGGACGGGTGAAGTACACTACCTTCGTGACGTGACTGTTGGCCAGGACGTCGACGTGCAGGTTGGGTCTGTCTATCACTGGCCACAGGAACGCCTTGGATGTGCTCATACGTTCCCCGTTCCCAATCGAAACCTGAGATCTACTAAATCCTGAAACAGTTACAATTGGCATTTATAACGTGTTACAACGTGCCTTTGCCTTACCACTGGACTAAGCAAAAATTCGAAGCAAAACCGTCATGAGCAGAATTCCATCAATAGGGTCCTGCAGATGTAATGTAAAGGTTGTTGAGGGTGGTTGAGTCAGGCGATTCCTTCCTCCCTTCTAATAGAGACTCGCCAAACTGACAGACTGACATATACACACACAACCGACAGGCTGACACCCGGACAGACATGTAGGCAGGCGCAGAGCCTCATAAACCTACAGCTGGAAAAACCAGGGACTCTCAGGAGCAAGCAAAGACACTCAAAACTGACAAACACGCACATAGCCACACTACACAAAGACAAAAAAACGAACGCATGCAGACACAGACAAACAAACACGCACACGCACACCCACACGCACGTTCCCTTGCCCAGACACTTGCCTTCCTGGTGTTCTCCGTTGTAGTCTATTTCCTTGAACCCGAGTTCCATTCCCGCCTTGACGAAGTAGTCAGCGGCGGGTATTGCGTTCATTTCCGTCACAGTCAGTGGACCTCCCCGGCCATGGTATTCTTGAAAATGATGATGAATAAGAAGAAAACGTTACGTCTCAATTACAAACAAAATCTTTCACACACCGTCAACTATCATGAAAGGTGGGAAACCCAAGACAAGGCAGCGTAAATTCAGAAACGGCGATTTTTGAAGTATTTAATTCAGTCAGTGCGAAGAAAACGGGACTCATAATGTCTCTTCCCCTGCTATTTACGTTTGTTTGTTAGTTTACTATTTAATGCCGTAATCGACAGTATTCAAGCTATGTGACGATGGTGTGTAAATAGTCTAGTCTGGACCAGACAATCCAGTGATTGACATCATGCGCATCGATCTACGTCATTGGGATATGATGAAATGCAACCAAGACAACAAAGTCAACGAGCCTGACCACGGGCCTTAAGCTATTTTCAAAGTAGCATTAAATTTACATTTAACAAGCGCCTTAGCTTAGAACGAGCTTTCAGCTGAGAATGCATTGCACGTGGTGATTATATTGACATGCGAAATGTAAATGATGTATATAGTTTTACAGTTACCTGAATTTTTTAATCTATCAATTTGTATGTCTTCCGATTTTTTAAAGTACGGGAGAACATCTTCGTAACTCCACCCCTCACTGCCACTGGCTGCCCAGCTGTCGTAGTCATGGCGATGCCCTCTGACATACTGCATATAGTTTAACAGGCTGGTTCCTCCCAAGACTCTACCACGTGGCCATGCTCCCCTCTGAAATTCATCTTAATATATCTACTGGAACACCAATGTAAAATATATTAAATCCTATCACGGTTTATGTCACTGGTGTGTCACATTTTGAAATGCCCTACACATGTCTACCATAAAACATTTGAAAGCTTTATTGAGGCCATAAATTTTGTAACCTTGAGCTAACTTCGACCTTTACTAGAATAGGGCAACAGGGAGGTGCGTGCTTTCAGAGACCTATTTGTTAACCTTGCCTTTTCTATTAGTCCTGAATGTGCATGTTGCTGAGGTTCGGTCAAAAAGGCCCAGTCAAATTTGTCCATCTGGTTTAAGGCTACCATCAGAGGAGTATCCAGCGTCTTCTGGTTCCGGTCATCACCGCCAGCCTCGATCAGCAGGACGGTCACGTGACCATCCTCGGACAGACGGGACGCAAGAACAGCCCCTGCGGACCCTGCCCCAACTGTGAAATAGAATACCGTTTTAACCATACACAACAGATCACACTTAATCATTTGCTGTGGTCGTCCAAACAGTAATGCCACAATTGAACTACATAATGCAATACTCACATAATATTATCAGACAGCAATTGTTCTTACATTACAGTAACGACCCAAAAGACGCTGAACAAAATGTAGCAGTCATTTGAAGATGAACTTCAGAAATATTCGAAGATATGAATATTACCTATGATATAGTCATAAGTCGTTCTCAGTTCGGGAGAAAGAATTCCTTTGTCGTCAACAGGAAAGACGGAGACACCGACGAAGATAGCGAGGATTGCAACATTGACGACAAGCAGCAGTGACGTCGTTGAAAAGCCCATGGTCCCTTATTCAGATTTTGAATATTATGTCAAACTGACAATGTGCAATATGTTCAATCTTTACAATTTGTTACATTATTTCTGCTTTTCCTACAAGCCATGCACTTTAAAATCCATGTCTATATGCAAACTAAAAATACTATTTATTCCCGTTATGATTCAACTGAACAATCAGCCTCGGTTGGAATAGAAGCTTTCACACCTATATCTAGCTGGACTAGGAAACTGAAATAACCGGATGGTATCGGCCTGTGACCTGGTTCATTCCTGGTCAGTTTGCTCGATGGTGTAGATCGTTGCTTATGTGTATATTCACCGGTTTGTCTCAGCCAGACAAACCACTGGGACTTATGGCAACTCAATGGGAAATACATGCACTGTCAACATTATTTGTTTTTACGTTTAATCGTATAGGCTCTTTACGAAAGATAGTGTTTCCAATCAATGCATCAACTGGATTCCTTCGCTGACCCTGTTTTGTGCTGATACCAGACTGACACGCTCGTGCCACAAGACGAGGGCATTTTGGCGCAGTGACTATGCCTCTCAACAAGATTTTCCTTTTCATACAACTTATAAACGAATATACATATTCGAATAAATACACTTTAAATACACTCCACCTTCAGTTTGTTCTATTCGTATAAATACGATACACCTCAGCCGTTTTTGCTATTATTTTCTAAAACATATGTTGAAATGGTCATAATTTGCTCAGGGAAAATTTAAATAAGCCCCTTGTGTTTCTTACCGCTAGCTCGATGTTACACACGTCAAGCCTTCGCCGAAGAAGTGGAGTTGTGTCGATAAGCCAAAGTCACAATCAACAACAAGTATACTGTGTTGACTGTTCACGAATGCACTTTACTCTGTGACTCAACAGATGCACCTTATTCCTTGACCCACATTTGAAGACATCTCCTAGTGTAAATAAAATCTATAAAACCCTTTCCCAATATACAAATGTCAACGCCAGAGAATAATCAGTCTCGAGTATCTGATGAAACATAATACATTGGCCTTAAAGGGGTACGCTGAAGTTCATGATGACACCCGAATTTCGCGAAAAGTGTAAGCACGTACTGTCCTACAGGAAGGAAGAAAGCTCTGCTAAGAGTCCATTGTTCGATTGCGACTTTGTCATTAGCATGTGCTTATGAATCAATATCGGCTAGTGATGTTACCATGTGTTCGAGAAAAAAGATGAGCGTATCTTGCCGGAACAGCGTCACTTATGGATTTACTAGATGTACGAACATATACTCTGGTGAATCTGAACTAATCTTTAATGTTGATATTCCTCCTGATTTATTAGTCTTGTAGAACTTCCCTTCGAATGTATAATATAATTGGACGATTCCGACAATATCATAAGCCCGTGTTTATCAATCACTTGTGAATTTACTAAAATGGTGAATGTACTAAAATAGTGGATATTTACCCATTGCTTTTCTTTTTCTTTGTAACAGAAATGTTTTACATTGATCTTCTTAATATTCTCCTACTAGCTTTAAATACAAAGTCGTTAAGTGACACAATCTGATACCATCAACATGATTTTATATGACAAACATCACTTAAAGAAATGAAATTTTAACACACTCGAGAGGCAACTAACGGGATCGGTGGTCTGGCTCGCTGACTTGTTTAATGCATGTCATCGTATCACAATTGCGAGTATCGACGCTTATGATATCCATCACTGGATTGCCTGGTCCAGATTCGATTATTTACAGGCCACCGGCATATAGCTGGAAGTTGCTGAGTATGTAGTATAACTATATCTGAATGCACACATGTGGCACATGCTACCACAGTTGAAACTAGTCGCAGATGTAGACATAGCATGTCAAATTTCAAGGCCATCTGAAATCATTAGCGTGTGTGCACGACCCGATCTCCTGCCAATGGAAGGGATGAGACTACTAATCTGACCTTGGGGAATGGTGGCCCACTCGGCCTGTAGTGCAACCGTTGTGAGCCGTGCTGTGTGTGCTCTGGCGTGGGGAACAAACAAACAAATAAACAAACATTCATTAAATATATCTGAATGCACACATGTGGCACATGCTACCACAATTGAAACTAGTCGCAGATGTTGCAGCAATAATGAAAACCCGGATTCGGGCCTTTTGAGCAAATGAAGGGCATCGTTGATAAGATGAAAAAAAGTGAAGTTTAAGATTCATTGGTCTACTGGTATATTCACGGAGCAGTGACTGGATTTTGAGAAGAATTAGAGGCATGGTCAATGTGCAAAGGGCAGATCAATGTCAAACTTTAATATATCGCGAAAAAAAGAACATATATCTTAAGACACACTACTTACTAAACATTTTCCGACTTTCATTACATTTGGAACAAACATGACAAAATAATGGCCTTAATCGGTGTTTCAATATGTTTGTTGTTTAACGCCGCACTCAGCAATATTCCAGCTATATGACGGCCGTCTGAAAATAATCGAGTCTGGACAAGACAATCCAGTGATTGACATCATGAGCATAGATCCACGCAATTTGGACCGATGACATGCAGCAACCAAGTCAACGAGCCTAACCACCGACCCTTTTAGTCGCCTTTTACGACAAGCATAGTCGCCTTTTACGGCAAGCAAGGGTTGCTAAGGACCTTTTCTACCACAGATCTTCACGGGTCTGTCAATCGTGGCTTCCATACTACAAATCAGATTCATATTCGAAGAAATTTTGGTATCATCAATGGTGGGAGCAAGCATGTCCTTTGGTTTCTGATGGGCCGATATGTACAGAATATAGAGCCCATCGTCACAGTATTAAATTGAGGATCATGGTTTGCATGTCAATGTACGCTGCCAATATGGGACGTTGTATATAATATCAATCACTGGTTTTCCTGGTCCAGACCCGATTGTACAGCTGGAATGTTACTGCCAGTGGTGTAAACCAACCAACAATGTGAGGTGAGGTGAGGTGAAATGGGGTTTAACGTCGCGTCCAAGATTATTGCACTTATATAGCGGCGTGTATGCACGTGTGTGTGTGTGTGTGTGTGTGTGTGTGTGGCTGCTTGTACTAGTCCGGACTGATGCCGATTTATAGTGCTAGCACACTGAGATACCATGCCGCAGTTTAACATGAATACCCCACTCAGACACAGTATACTGACTCCGAGCCGACCAGTCCTTGTTTTAGCTACTTAATGCCGAGCGCCAGACAGGGTAACAACAAGTACCATCTTTTAACGTCTTTTGGTATGACGCGGCCGGGGATCGAACCCCGGACCTTCCGCTCTCCGGGCGGACGCTCTACCACCAGACCATCCTAATTGTTTCATGAGTGAGTGAGTTTGGTTTTACGCCGCTTTTAGCAATATTCCAGCAATATCACGGCGGGGGACACCAGAAATGGGCTTCACACATTGTACCCATGTCGGGAATCGAACCCGGGTCTTCGGCGTGAGGAGCGAACGCTTTAACCACTAGGCTACCCGACCGCCCCTAATTGTGTCATGAAGGCTGTACACAGACAGTGGATGCACAATACGAATCCAAATACTATTATTGTGGCACATGGTTGGAATATGGGATTTGAACTTGTTTTTTTTAAAGAATTGTGTATTCTTTTGTGAATTTGCCGTAATGTTTTAGATTAGGTGATAATACCTTGTGTTGATTCTTCACGTGTGAACATGTGAAGCCCATTTTTGGTCTCTCCTTTCCTGACAGAATATATTGCTGGAAACGGCACAGAATTCATTCACTCACAGATTCGATTTTCTTTGTGCTGTCCTAAGGGGAAATCCACACGAATGAGAACACAAACAGTTTGGGGGGGAAGTATTTTTAATTTTTACTCCAGATTGAAAAAAAATCATCGATGAACATCATGTGATGTGTACGATAACTAAAGCGTTTTAAAACATATTTTACATTAAAATAGATAGATATGCAATAATTAGAGAGAGAGAGAGAGAGAGAGAGATATAGATGATCTATCAAAAATGTGGAAGCAAGATTATCCTGAGCCTTATTTGCTACTTTTGATGATATCTGCCGCCTTTTCTCCAATCATAATGCACGGGGCGTTTGTGTTCCCTGACACGAGGGCCGGCATGATGGAGGCGTCCGCGACTCGCAGTCCAGCAATACCCTTCACTCTGCAAAATATTTTATTGAAACCGACATTCAGATTAAAGGGACGACTTAGATTCAGCACGGACACGCCACAGCGGCTACTAGAAGTTAGTTCGTTACACCTTAATCGTCATTCGAAATTCGTAAATTTGTTTTTCGTCCTCCAACATACACCTTTACCAATATTGGGACAGTCATTTAGTGCATGTTCGACCAACACCAGACAACATTGGGGGCATAACATACATCATAAACAAACCTACAGGTAAACGTTTGAAAGACGAATAACAAACTAACTTCTGGTTGTCCCGTCACAGCTCGGTGTATATATTCATCAGGCAGCTTGGTAACAGAGCTCTCATACGTTTGTTATTTTGTTTGTTAGTAATTTGTTAGTTTACCCACGTTCATCAGTCTAGCACGGAACGACCCCAAAAAGGATTAAAAGAATTAGCTGAATGTCCAAGAAAGTTGCTGGTCTCTGATGTGATCAGAGCTACAATCATTCAAGGTGATATTCATGTAGTTGACCTGGTGATCATTTTAGATTGGTGAAAACACAATGTAACATGATTGTATTTATACAAACGCCATAGAATAGTTGAAGTTTTCCAAATTCACCCACCTCAGTTGAGGATCCACCACTGTAGTTGGGTCGCTTGGTTTCCCCATCTTGCACGTGGTGGTCGGATGGTAGACTGTTGTAGCAAGTGCCCGGATGTAACACTCCCAGTATTCATCAGTGTCATACTTCATAGTGTTGCATGTCGGGAAGGGCGTGTCTTCAAGCTGGGCTCCTATTTCCTTGAATGCCTTTGTCTGATGAAGTTTCTGGACGATGCGAACACCTGTTGAACAGAAATGTCTTTTAAATTCTGATCCATTTGATATTCAAAGGTATATTTTTGGAGCGAAGCGTTATTAATTCAGCTTGTCTATATGTAGTTCAAAAACAGTTTGACTGACAAATCAATGGTATTCATACTCGTAAAAGAATGTGAGCAGTATTTCTAAATCTACTATGATGAAACCTGATGTTCACTTTGTTCTGGGTGTTACATCTGTCATGCTTGAAGGTGGAAGTCAGTTTTGGTTGTACAAATATACATGATCCTTCATAAATGATGTTGCCTCAACTAGATCCAAAGAAAAAAAGATGTTGCTTTGCCCGTAGTACGTATCTGTTAAAAGTAGCTACTTCACCCAAAGAATGTCCCTGGTAAAAGTTGTTACTTTACCAGAAGTATTTCCCCATTAAAAGTAGTTGGTTTACTCGAATTATGACTCTGTTAAAAGCAATTGTTTTACCCGCAATAAGACTTTGGTAAAAGTAGTTGCTTTGCCCTTGAAGACCCTCATAACTGGAATTTTCACCTCTAACTAAAGTCTTGGCGTCATCAGGATGAGACAGGTAGTTGGGATCGATGATAGGATGCTCAAACGGGTTGTTGCTTCTCAGGCGGATTGTCCCTATGCTCTTTGGGCGGAGTAAAGTTGGGAAGATTGTGAAACCTTCTTTAACATACGTCCAGTTGAAATGAGCAACTATCTAAATAAAAAGTAGATGATCGTTATATAAGGTAAGGGACGTTTCAAAACATGAGCGTTTATGTCGTGTCAGTGTGCTTGTGTAGTCCGTCCATCCGTCAGATCTCCCCTGAAACCACAAGGCCTATTCATGATGACCACAGCTACGGTGCTCTTACAGTGCCCACAGAATTTATTATAAAAGATATGTAAAGCTGGTCACATGGCAGTTGTGTTAACAATGTCATTTTTGCCCATTGCTCAGCCATAAATTCATGTATCATTATAGTATTGGATAAGCAGAAAATATGTGGGATGTCAAATAACGTCACATTTTGTAGGTTTTGGTTATATTTGACACGTATACAACCCATGACCCTCATGTTCCAATTACATTTGTTCACTCAATCTGAGCACGGTGACACTCAATCAACACAGTCTTTATACCTGTGCCCCATTTGGTCGGCGTTTACGCCGAAGACAGGGCCCATGGATACTGGGAACATATTGTGATTCCTGTGGAAATAAAGCACTCTTACCTTTTGGTCAATGTTAAATAGACGGGCCAGACTTTTGTCCATTGAAGCACAGACAAAGTGAAACTGAACGTCTGGACTTGGCTCGTCGGATTTCGTCTTCACAAACGCCATGGCTTCCAGACCGCCGCTTGATGTTAAAAGACCTAATGTGAAAGGCAAGTTATAAGCTGTGGCTGAGCAAGTACCTTCTAGGGAAGGTGTGCCGCGATGCACGGATTATGGAACCGTCAAGGAAAGACGTTGCTGGACAGTAAGCAATATTTTAACTTCACCATGGTGGCCTTTAAAATGTATCCTCCGATCATGTTTTGGACGTCACACGTTTGTAGACGACCATGTTTATCTCGAGTTGTAAAGAGGTTGCAACTCGAAACACTTCCAGGCTGAAGAAACTACTTCGTCCGATTCTTCCAAAGAGTACTTTCATAAGAATATGATTGCATCACATACCTCAATTCCTCATAGTCGAATTCTTATTAGATGGAAATATTTTGGTGCCACTCTTTTTAATAGATATGTTTGCATTTTTATAAGATTTTATAATGTTTATAACTTTTTTCTTTTCCTTTAAAACACGGAAAGGATTGATCTTAACCTACACCATTTCTATCTTAAGAGGAGCAAAGTAGTCTGGTGACCCAGAAAGACTGCATACCTGGAACATCTGGGACTGTAATTGGTTCAGGATGGTCCAATAGTGGTTATCTTCAAAGGTATTTTACGATTTGTGCCAAGCATGACCTGAACAACTACTAAAATTTTGAAATACCCATTCCTCTTTTTACAGGATTTCAAAATCTGACCAAAGAGAACTTTTTGCTGGGTCCAGCAAATGTACCTCCATCGCCCCATGTCAAAGATAAACCATAATCCTTAATACAAACAAGGAAGGAATTTCGTTATATTCTCAGAACTATTCATAGAAGCGGAAAATCAAATCAATTCTCAAGGACTCAAACGATTTGCTTTTGACTTTTAGCAATTGCAGAAAAAATACGTTCAAGATTATTGTACTTAAATAGCAGACCTGTGCGTGTGCGTGTGCTTGTGCGTGTGCGTGTGCGTGTGCGTGTGTGTGCTTGTACTACTCCGGACTAAGATACCATACTTCAGTCCATATCACCTTTCCCATCTGAGAATAAAATAAATGAAATGCTGGATTTGACTTCATTGATACCAACCATGTGAAATTTGGAGATCAAAAGTTTTGTCAAAAACGAGGTATCCCCACGGACACCAACTGTGCTCCCCTCCTTGTTGATCTGTTTCTGTTAGCATATGGATCGGAATTTCTGCTCGTATTGGCAAACTCAACACACATGAATTATGGACCAATAATATTCAAATACACAATTCCCCTCCACTCATTTATCATCCTGAAATAGAACTAAAGAGACCCATGAAACCGTCACACACAACAAAGTTATTCACAAAACTGTATGACAATAGGGATGTTTTCAACGGTCAACTTTCCCTTGATGTTGAGCAATATCCGAGTAGCTCCGGCCTTTGGTGTCTACATTTTACAACTTTTACGATATTGTGGGCGGAATCTCTGAAATTACAGCGAAGATCTTATGACTATGGAAGAGGTCTCCTCGCTTTTACTTATGATGGATATATTGCCCACATCACAGTTTCTTTCCTTAGACGGGCCAAAGTGATGGTGCGAGACATACAGAATTCGTAAAAAAAATAGTTTGACTACATAGAATCTAAACTGAACAGGAAAATACGCATTAAAATTCGCTTAATTGGTAATATATTAGGGATATATGCTGGAATAAATCCTTCAGGGAAATATATCTTACCTGTTTTCAATGCACGATATTTGATTAAAGCAAGGGTTGACTCTAATTTCTGTTTCGTGAGGGAAATAGGCTTCTGAATTTTCGACACCATGGTGAGGAACATGTGATCCTGTAAGCTTTCACCAACTGGGAGGCTAGCTTGAACTGGAATCTGTACATTGAAATACAAGCGACTAAACCATTTCCTTAGTTATAAGATATCTTAATAGTCCATTGTGTGATTCCGACCAATTTCTAAGCATGTGTTTATAAGAATCAACATCAAAGAGTGGTGATACTATGTGTTCGCGGAATGGTAAACGTATATGGCCCCAACAGTGACACCCATCACAAACCCGCCAGAAACACATTCAAAGAAAAGACAACAAGTGCAAAACTGAGCGTGGCTCACTAATACCCCTGACCCGCCTAGTGTTAGTAGTACAAATTAAATAACTTGGATATGGTAAGGGTTTGAAAAATTTATAAAAAATGGAAAATTAATAAAAACAATATTTTTCTTTTGACTGCACCCCTCCATATGACACCTATTATATGTACTAAGTTTGAGATGAATCCACTGAATAGTTTAAGAGCAATCGCGCGGACAAAGTTTTCGGACGGACGTTAGGGTTTGAAAAAATCATTAAAAAAATGGAAAATTAATAAAAACAATTGGTTTCTTTTGACTGCACCCCTCCATATGACACAGATTATATGTACGAAGTTTGAGATGAATCCCCTGAATATTTTAAGAGAAATCGCGCGGACAAAGTTTCGGACGGACGGACGGACGGACGGACGGACGGAACCTTGGTATAACTATATACCCCCGACATTTTGTTGGGGGGTATAATAAGTAGTAGCCCAATGCACATATGTACTAATAATGTATGGAAGTTACTGATTCCCTGGCATTAGAAATCATATAGTGAGACTTGTTGAACACAAGGGAGGCTGAAAGCTGATCGTATTTGTGCATTTGAATTGTCGGTAAATCAGTAAGTCGCTTCTTAAGACCACCATAAATTGCTGTGGATCCATTCTAACCCGGGATCCTCATAGGGACAATGAGGAAGAAATATAAGTTGTATGTTTGTTCTATAACACAATAGTAGTAATCTACAACATGACGACAGAAGACGAAGGCATGTCACTCTACAAGAAGTAATTAAAGAACTTATATGTATTTTATTCACGCTCCAGGTACAAATTAAGGAGCAAAATCTCACACTTAACAAATAAATTGTTGTTTAATCTGACACAACTCAGTCCCATGAGATGGCTAAAGAGCAAAAAAGCAGCCGCCCTATCGATTTACACTCATAGGTTAGTGACAGAGGGCAGGAGTGGTAACATCACCTCCGAGACATGTGGTGAATGGGCCCAGGGTATTTATCATTACAGAATGGATGATACTATACTAGATGATCGTAGATGTACTGTTTGCGGCATTCGACCGTAGTTCCTGAAACACTAAAAATCTGCAAAAGAGTGCAATGTTCAAGTCTAACGCTTATCCTTTGTGACAAAACTGTTCAGTATTTTAACGTCGTTATTCGTTATACATCTTTTCTTGATCAATTCTCTTCTGGCAGTATACGCTCACCTTTTCACGAACACCTGGTATCATCACTATTTGATAACGATTCATAAACACATGCTCAGGGAAAAGTAGGAATCGTACAGTCGTCTCTCCATTTAGCAGATATGAAGCGACCCTTGACCATACACGGAGGTTACTCTAAAACTAATGTAATTAAGACACTACAAATGAATATCTCTGAAGTTTGGTCATATTCGGCTCATTGAAAGGTTGCCTTGGCCTTGCTATCATCTAATGCTTTGTCAGAAAATGTTCCAAGGGATAAATGTAACGTCTGTTTTAAGCGCGCAGCGTCTGCGGTGTCAATTTGAGCTAACTCCTTTTGATCTCCGTCAGTGTCTTCCAAAATATGCTAACCTACCATGATGTTACCCAAATATTGTTAAAATATTGTTAAAAGCAGAGTTATTCAATAACATATTCACTCAATAAAAGCAACTATATACACGGACGGTGATAGCATGAATAGGACAGTGTTTACTGTGACATTATACTGGATGAAAACTAATAAACTTACATCTGTGATGTTTCTGGAGAGAACAGCAAGTCCGATATACTAATTTAAATTGTGACATAAATTGCATAAATAGAAGTTATTTTTCACCTTCATCTCCTCCAAGTGTTTCTTTGGCCCGATCCCTGACAGCAACAGCAGCTGTGCCGATCCAATTGCACCAGCTGACAAGATTACCTCCCTTGATGCACGAACTCTGTACAGGCGGCCATCTTTAACATACTCGACACCAACTGCTGTCTTCTTGTTTATCATTACCTGGCGAAAACAATTGGACAAACTCAGTACTGATCTAATGTTTGATGTATCTACGAATGCGTATCCTAGAGGAATGTAGACGGGTAAAGTACAATACCTTCGTAACGTGACTGTTGGCGAGGACGTGCAGGTTGGGTCTGTCTATCACAGGCCACAGGAACGCCTTGGATGTGCTCATACGTTCGCCATTACCAATTGAAACCTGCGATCTACTAAATCCTGAAACAGTTACAGTTGGCATTGACAAAGTATTACAACGCGCCTTTGCCTTTCCACTGGACTAAGAAAATACTCGAAGCAAAACCGTCATGAGCAGAATTCCATCAATAGGGTGCTCCAGATGCAATTCAAAGGTTGTTGAGAGTCAGGCGATTCCTTCCGTACATTTAAATAGTAGATCAAATAGAAACTCAAATTGACAGACTGACACATACACACACAACTGACAGGTTGACAACCGGACAGACAGGCCGGTAGGCTTAGAGTACATCAAACTACAGCTGGAAAAAGACAGAGACTCTCAGGAACAAGCAAAGACACTCAAAACTGACAAACACGCACATAGCCACACTGCAGAAAGACAAAAAACGAACGCATGCAGACACAGACAAACAAGCACGCACACGCACACGCACACGCACACGCACACGCACACGCACGTTCCCTTGCCCAGACACTTGCCTTCCTGGTGTTCTCCGTTGTAGTCTATTTCCTTGAACCCGAGTTCCATTCCCGCCTTGATGAAGTAGTCAGCGACGGGTATTGCGTTCATTTCCGTCACAGTCAGTGGACCTCCCCGGCCATGGTATTCTTGAAAATGATGATGAATAAGAAGAAAACGTTATGTGTCGATTACAAACAAAAATCTTTCACACACCGTCAACTATCATGAAAAGCGGGAAACCAAAGAAAAGGCAGCGTAAATTTAGAAACTGCGATTTTTGAAGTATTTAATTCAATCAGTTCAAACAAAAAGGACTCATAATACCTCTTCCCCTGCTATTTACGTTTGTTTGTTTGTTAGTTTACTATTTGATGCCGCAATCGGCAGTATTCCAGCTGTGTGACGGTGGTGTGTAAAATAATCGAGTCTGGACCAGACAATCCAGTGATTGACATCATGCGCATCGATCTACGCAAATGGGATACGATGACATGCATCAACCAATCCCGATCCCGTTAGTCGACTCTTACGACAAGCATAGGTTGCTGAAGACCTTTTCTACCCCTGATCTTCCCAGCACTGCTGTTTGTGTACACCAGCGAATAGAGAGTACTTTTAGTTTTATGTTTACTCTTTGTCTCATCCGATTATGCATCCGAAATTGAGTCAGCTGTCTTCACCTAAGAGAGGTTTGTTTTGTTGGTTCGTTGTTTCACGCCGCACTCACCAATATTCCAGCTTTATGAGGGCATTCTGTAAATAATCGATTCTGGACCAGACAATCCAGTGATTGGTTTGGTCTGTTTGTTGTTTAACGCCGCACTCAGCAGTATTCAAGCTATTTGACGGCGGTCTGTAAATAGTCGAGTCTGGACCAGACGATCCAGTGATTTACATCATGAGCAGCGATCCACGCAATAGGGATATGATGACATGCATCAACCAAGTCAACGAGCTTGACCACGGGCCTCACCATAAGCTATTTTCAAAGTAGCATTAAATTTACATTTAAAAGCGCCTTAAACTAGAACGAGCTTTCAGCTGACAATGCATTGCACGTGGTGATAATATTGACATGCGAAATGTAAATGTATTTTTACAGTTACCTGAATTTTTTAATCTATCAATTTGTATGTCTTCCGACTTTTTAAAGTACGGGAGAACATCTTCGTAACTCCACCCCTCACTGCCACTGGCTGCCCAGCTGTCGTAGTCATGGCGATGCCCTCTGACATACTGCATACAGTTTAACTGGCTGCTTCCTCCCAAGACTCTACCACGCGGCCATGCTCCCCTCTGAAATTCATCTTAAGATGATATCTACTGGAACACCAATGTAAAATATATCAAATCTCATCACAGTTTTTGTCACTGGTATGTCACATTTTCAAATGCCCTACACATGTCTACCATAAAACATTTGAAAGCTTTACTGACGCCATAAATTTTGTAACCTTGAAATAACAACTCCTGAACAACAGTCGTGTGATGCTCTTTCAAATCATGGCAGACAGAGCATGCTCAATCAGCAAACCAAGAACCAAGAAAATAGGGCATGTGCAGTCACGAATGATACAAAGACCAATGCAATGTACGAATACAACTGTATATGCATGTGAATGTCTTAATATATGATCTGATAAAAACTGCAACTTCAACTTTCACTAAAATAGGGCAACAGGGAGGTGCGTGCTTCCAGAGACCTATTTGTTAACCTTGCCTTTTCTATTAGTCCTGAATGTGCATGTTGCTGAGGTTCGGTAAAATAGGCCCAGTCAAATGTTTCCATCGGGTTCAAGGCTACCATCAGAGGAGTATCCAGCGTCTTCTGGTTCCGGTCATCACCCCCAGCTTCGATCAGCAGGACAGTCACGTGACCATTCTCGGACAGACGGGACGCAAGAACAGTCCCTGCGGAACCTGCCCCAACTGTGAAATAGAATACTGTGTTAACCATACACAAAACAGACTTCAATTAATCATTTGCTTAGGACGTCCAAACAGTAATGCCACAATTGAACTACATAATGCAATATTAACATTATAATATCATACAGCAATTGTTCTGATATTACTGTAACGAACCAAAAGATGGTGTACAAAATGTAGCAGTCATTTGAAGATGAACTTCAGAAATATACGAATATATGAATGTTACCTATGATATAGTCATAAGTCGTTCTCAGTTCGGGGGAAAGAATTCCTTTGTCGTCAACAGGAAAGACGGAGACACCGACGAAGATAGCAAGGATTGCAACATTGACGACAATCAGCAGTGACGTCGTTGAAAAGCCCATGATCCTTTATTCAGATTTTGAATATTCTGTCAAAATAGACGATCGTGTGCAGTATGTTCCCCCTTTGCAATTGGCTACATTATTTCTGCTTTTCCTGCAAGCCAAGCACTTAAAAATAAGTATAAATACTATTGATCCCCGTTATCATTCAATTGAATAAGCAGCCTCGGTCGGAATAGAAGCTGTCAAACCCATATCTTGCCGGACTAGGAAACTGACTTAATCGGATGGTATCGGCCTGTGACCTGGCTCATTGCGGGTCAGTTTGCTCGATGGTGTGGATCGTTGCTCATGTGTTTAGTCACCGGTTTGTCTCATGCAGACAAACCACTAGGACGTAAGGAAACTCAATTTGAAATACATGCACTGTCAACATTATTTGTTTCTACGTTTTAACGTGAAGTCTTTTTACGAAAGATAGTGTTTCAAATTAAAGCATGAACTGGATTCCTTGGCTGACCTTGTCTTGTGCTGATACCAGACTGACACGCTCGTGCACAAGACAAGGGCATTTTGGCGCAGTTTCTATGCCTCTCAACAAGATTGTCCTTTTCATACATCTAACGATTTGCTCAAGGAAAATTTAAATAAGCCCTGTGTGTTTCCTACCGTATTGAAGAAACAGGCAGCTCGATGTTACACGCGTCAAGCCTTCCCCGAAGTAGTGCAGCTGTATCGATAAGCCAAAGTCACAATCAACAACAAGAATACACAAGCGCCGGTGTTAACTGTGCACGAATGCACTCTAGTCTGTGACTCAACAGATGCACCTTATTCCTTGACCCTGAGATAAAAGCTATAAAACCCTTTCCTAATATATACATGTCAACGCCAGAGAATATTTAGTCTCGATTGTCTGATGAAACATAATACATTGGCCTGATATGATTGGATCACTGAGAATTAGTGGTGACACCCGGTGTTCGCGAAAATTGTACGCACGTACTGCCCTACCGCAAGCAAGAAATTTCTGCTAAGAGTCCATTGTTCGATTGAGATTATGTCATTAGCGTGTGCTTATGAATCAATGTCGGCTAGTGATGTTACCATGCGTTCGCAAAAAGATGAGAGTATCTTGCCGGAACACTTATGGATTTACGTGGATGTAAGACATACTCTGGTGAATCTGAACTAATCTCTTATATTGATATTCCTCATGTTTTTTAGTCTTGAAGAACTTCCCTTCGAATTTATGATATAATTAGACGATTCCGACAATATCATAAGCCCATGTTTATCAATCACAAGTGAATTTTCTCAAATAGTGAATAAACTCAAATAGTGGATGTACCCAAATAGTGTATATACTAAAAAAGTGGATATACTCACATTGCTTTATGTACATTTTGTCTGTAACAGTCATGTTTTACATTGATCTTCTTAATATTCTCCTACTAGCGTTAAATAAAAAATCATTAAGTGACTTAAACTAAAACCATCGACATCTTTTTATATGACAAACGTATAACTTACTGACGTGAAATTTTAAGACGCTCGAGAGGCGACTAACGGATCGTGTGGTTGATGCATGTCATCGTATCCCAATTGCTAGTGTCGATGCTCATGATATCAATCACTGGATTGTCTGGTCCAGATTTGATTATTTACAGACCACCGTCATATAACTGGAATTTGCTGAGTGTGGCTTTAAACAACAAACAAACATTCATTAAATATATCAACGTTAAGCAGCTGAATGCACACTTGCTTCACACGCTACTTGTTTCACACGCTGCCACGCTGAAACTAGTCGCTGATGTAGACATGGCATGTCAAATTTCAAGGCCATCTGAAGTCATTATCGTGTGTGCACATCCTGAGCAACCCGATCTCCTGTTCATGGAAGGGATGAGAGTACTAATTTTACCTTTGGGAATGGTGGCCCACTCGACCTGTCGTACTACCGTTGTGAGCCGTGCTGTATGTGCTCTGGCGTGATGCCAGTGCCAGGTACGACAGTCAGCGGCTGTGGTTGACATTGTCACGTCCATCCAGCCAACTCATCGAGAGGAACCTGAATGTAGTTGTTGTGTAGGTTTGGCGATGTGAATCGTGCTGTGTGTAATCTGTCATTATCACGCTGGAATACGGCGTTGGTGTTCTGACGAAGGGTATTCTCAAGTTGAAATAAAATGTACGCTATGTTAAATCATCATCGTTGTGCGTGTATGGAGGAGGATAAAACACATTGATCTACACTCCCAGTCATTTATCGTCATTGCACCTTCACTATCCGTTCATCAGGTCCCTTATTTTTTGTCGGTATGTATATATATACATCATCCTGTAAGGGTTGACTAGTCAGAGTGAAAGCATCATTCTTTGAAAACTTAATAATTAGCCTCGTTCAGAATAGGACCCCAGCATCCCATTCCTGTTGGAGACAGGCAATTGAATTGGATCTGGAATGTCAGGCTCTGCCACTTGGCTGATTGCAGGTCATCATGAGTGATTGTGAGGATTGTTGTTTACGTTTCCAGTCATTGGGTTGTCCTGTCCATAATAACAAAACCACAAGACATATATCTGGGGCTTTTACCACAAAGCAATATGATCGGTATTCTGGTTAGAACACACATGAAAAACAGATGGTGGACCAAACCTCGTTTTTAACACGCTTCTCAAATACCCCATCAGGAAATACGCCTCAGACCTGATTGAATCCAATGAATTTTACGACCAAGAAAATGTATTGTCACGCCAATATAAGCCAAAGTTAAATTTCCTTCTGATTGACTAAATATGGTGCATTGGCATGGATATGTACATGTAGTCAACAGTTTAAGATGTCAACAAGGGCAGCATCTCAATAAAATTTCTGTCGGCGTTGCTCCTCAAATAGTTCCAGCATGAATACTGAGGACAAAAGTATGAAATGAATGAACATATATTTGTGAAACATTGTTGCACCATACAAATGTTCCAACCCTGAGACTGCCTTCTCAGGAGAATGGCTTTTCTAAAACCATACAATTTCCAATTGTTCGACAAAAGCACTAAAATCATAACAAAATATGTTAAACAAAATTTGTTGTCATGATAAGGAGACACATACCTGCCGAGGTTAAGCTTCGACAGTGAGGAAATGTGAGGAATGAGTGGTTATAGGGCCAAAAACGCATCGTGAGAAAATGCAATAGCACCAGTTTCATTTCGAACAAAATTGCTGAGCAGTAGCCATGAATAGTCTTTTACAATTTGGCTAATACTGTAGCAGCAATAATGAAAAATCGGATTCGAGCCTTTTGAGCAAATGAAGGGCATCGTTGGTGAGATGAAAATAGTGAAGTTTAAGCTTCATTGGTTTACTGGTTTCTACAAAGAGTATATTCACAGAGCAGAGACTGGATCTTGAGAAGAATTAGAGGCATGGTTAATGTGCAAAGGTCAGATCAACGTCAAACTTCAATATATCGCGAAAAACAGAACATATATCTCAAGACACACTACTAATATTTTCCAACTTTCATTACATTTGGAACAAACATGACAAAAAAATGGCCTTCCATACAACAAATTGGATTCAAATTTCAACAAATATTGGTATCATCCATGGTGGGAGCAAGCATGTCCATTGGTTTCAGATATGATGTGTACAAAATATAGAGCGCATCGTCACAGTATTATATTAAGGATTATGGTTTGCATGCCAATATACCCCGCCTGTGTGGAACGTTGTATATAATATCAATCACTGGTTTTCCTGGTCCAGACCGGACCGTACAGCTGAAATGTTACTGCCAGTGGTGTAAACCAACAAACAATGGTGTCACCAATCCGAAAAACAAAAGTATTGAGAATTGACAGACAGTCTCATGCAGAGACCAGTCTCGACCGTTGAGGCCATCAAATTGCAGATCATCCTAATCGTGTCATGAAGGCTATACACAGACAGTGGATGCATAATACAAATCCAACGGCTATTAGTGTGGCACATTAACCTTTTTTAAAAGAAGTATGTGAAATTGTGATCTTCTATATGCATACAATCTATGTATTCTATTGTGAATTTGACGTAATGGTTTAGATTTTACCTTGTTGTGATTCTTCACATGTGTGAAGCCCATTTTGGGGCTCGCCTGTCATGATAGAATATATTGCTAGAAACGGCACGGAATTCATTCTCTCATAGATTAGATGTTCTTTGTGCTGTCCTATTGACAAATCCACACGAATGAGAACACAAACAGTTATGGGGAAAGTATTTATAATTTTTACTCCAGATTGAAAACAATCATCGAAGAACATCATGTGATGTTTACGATAACTAAAGCATTTTATAAACATATTTTATGTTATAATAGATAGATATGCAATAATTAGAGAGAGAGAGAGAGATAGATGATCTATCTAAAATGTGGAAGCAAGATTATCCTTATTTGCTGCTTTTGATGATGTCCGCCGCCTTTTCTCCAATCATAATGCACGGGGCGTTTGTGTTCCCTGACACGAGGGCCGGCATGATGGAGGCGTCCGCGACTCGCAGCCCAGAAATACCCTTCACTCTGAAAAACATTAAATTGAAACCGACATTCAGATTAAAGTGACGACTTAGATTCAGCATGGACACGTCACGGCATATAGAAATTAGTTCGTTATACCTTAATCGTCATTCGAAATTCGTAAAACGAAAACCGAACTATTTCTGTGGAGGACGAATTATTTTATTTTCCGTCCTCCAAAAAACACATTTTTCCAATATTGAGACAGACAGTTAGTGCATGTTCGAGGAACGTCAGACAACATTGGGGACATCACATTCAGCATAAACCTACAGGTAAACGTTTGAGAGACGAATAACAAACTATTTTTTCCATCTTTCCGAGGCAAGAGAGTTAACTGATTTTAAAAGTCCAGTTTCCACCCTTGCCGACATTGGCTGGAATTCATGGGTTCGATCGTAGCGCCCCTAGTGGCTATTACAAGTTATATCCCTTCTATGCTTCTACTATAGACCAAAGTAGTTGTGTGCAGCGCAACAGAACCGCTCCTGGCTTCTGATTTGTCGGTGGGGTCACGTGACCTCTGATGACGTCACTTCCGGTTGGGTGTGCGCAGGGCATCCAAGATGGCGGCACATCCGTTTCCGGTGAAAAGATCAACCATTGAAATAAGCGCTTATAAAATATTTTTCTTTTCTTTTTCCAAACATAGACGTTGCGGTGGCGGCGGCGGCGGAGGGGGGAGGGAGGGGAGGGGTGATGGCGGCGGCGGAGGGGGAAGGGAGGGGAGGGGCGGTGGCGGCGGCGGAGGGGGAAGATAGGGGAGGGGCGGTGGCGGCGGCGGAGGGGGGAGGGAGGAAGGCGGGAAGGGAGTCGGGTTCTTTGTTTTGTTTTGGTTGGTGTGTGGAGATGTTGGGTGTAACACTGTTGATTTGGGAACCAGCGTTGACATGTCAAGCAAGGGATCCCGTGCTCTTCCTTAGGTCCGCAATAGCTAGAGTGGAGGCAGCGGTGGCAGCGGTATTGCTTGGTGCAGGGATGTTTTTCGAGATGGTCGTAACGGTGGTCGCAGCGTTCGCAGTAATGGTTAGATGCATAAGAAGCTGGCATGGAAGCGATGACATCGTAGTGCTGATGGTATAAATGCAGCACGGTGACGTTGGGTGGAGCCTCATCACACATGTACAACAGTCTCTGGTCCACCTCTTGACTTTAGACTTTCAGTTGATAATTCAGGTGGGCCAAGGCGCGTCCAACGCGTGCTAGGTCGTCCAGGCCCTGACAGGGACCTTCAGGCAGGCCTAGGCGTCAAAACAAGTCCCGTGCCCCTTATGCCTTGAACGTCGACTCGATCCGTTCTCGTGATTCTCATTCGCTGGTTGGTCCATTCTTGGGTCAGAGGGTTAGGTTTCTGGGCATAATGCTGTGCCACCACCAGGGCCCGTGCCAAACAGGATTGATCTTCGTTCTTGATCCATACAATGCCCCTTTTGCGTGTTAAAAAGGTTTCAAGTCCAATCACGTTTTTCAGTTGATGACGGCCACTGCCTGATCCTAGCCTGTCGGGATCTGCTACATGTACTAAAGTCACAACCATGGTGGCATCGATGTTCAGGTCTTTGTTGGACTGTTGGACTTTTTCCACGGCATGTAAAATATCTAGCACATGGAGATCTTCAAAGCGACGAAAAGGAATCCGTATGGGGATGTTCAAAGCGGGATGATCGATACCTAGACCAATACGATCTCCCTTCTGGCCAGACATCTGTTGATAAAAGTCATCGATCACCCTGTCAAATAAAGCTGGCAGTTCAATGGTGGTACGGTGTCCAAGTAGTCTGGGTTGAAAGTCAAACGATAGGTATGGTTAGCAGTTCTTAACCGTCTGGAGCGTGTGGTGTCTTTCCTCTCCAAACGATAGGGTGTACTCTGCTTGTCCATCATGGTGGCGATGAGTGCCCGATGAACGTCAGCCCTTCCTAAATATACATAAACAAGACGATCTATTTATAGAAGGTCTCTGATTGGTCGAAAATCTGACCAATCAGAAGTCAGCACCGACCAATCAGAAGACAGCACCCAAGCCGAGTTGTGCTTTTCTTCCCATGGAAAATACATTTTTTTCCTATGAAAAAAACCAAACACAACGGTCGGACCAATTTGGAAAACTGAGGCTCAGTCCAGGCATCGAAACAGATCCATCGACGTGTCGCGTTTTGGAGCCATCAAAACAGGAGCCCTTTCGATCCACTCTAAAAGTTGAAAAAATGAATTGTGTTGTGTTTTTAGGATGGAGAAATCAGCATGCTCACCCCAGGGAGAAAAACAGGATAAAAAATGGTTACCCATCAGAAGCTTGGGTTGTCGTCCAATCAGGAAACAGGGTGACAGTGTCTTAAATAGTATAGACACTCTCTGGTCATCACGTTTCCTATGAAAAAGAAACATAAGGGTCGGGCCAGTTTGGAAAACCGAGGTGAAACCGATCGCTCCCTGCATTCCTACATGTGTGTGCCTGTCGATTCACCTTTAAAAATTCAGGCAACACCTTTAAAATTCCACACCATGATCGTAGCGCTGAGGTGATCGCCACTCACCGACTGTTAGTGAAACGAACGATTGTTCTTTTGCTACAATACGATTGCCTTGTGGAACAAAACCTTACATCTCAAAGTTTACAATCACATCATCATAGTCGATGACGTCATTTGTGGAATGTTGTAGCACAATCTTTCGTCGATGTGGTGTCTACCTAGCAACAAAGTGGCTGGGTTATCGACTGTGTATGATAACTTTGATAAGTTCGTTTCAGTGATCTATCATCTCCACACGCCATCGACACCCACCCTGCTTGCTTTGCCAACACAAACAACAACAATCCAAAACAAAGAACCCACACCCGCTCCCTCGCCTACGCGTGACACCACAATTGTACGTCTCAAAATAAAAATAAAATAAATATGTTGGTATGTATGGTGGTGTACACGAGTGAAACACCACGTGTGCCTGAAGACACGAGTCAAACACCACTTATGTCTATTGATCTCTCTCTATCCTTAAAAAATGCTAAATAGGATAAATAATCATGTGGATCAACGTGTGTTTGAAGACACGCATGACATCACGTTTGCATGGCAACACGAAGTACATCACGTGTGCATGGAAACACACGAAGTACATGACGTGTGTATGTAGACACGAATGACAGTGCGCATGTCAACCTACACGAGTGCCAGCACCTCGGTATAATTAATAATAATAATAATCCTATGGATCAACGTGTGTTTGTCGTCACGCGTGACACCACGTTTGCATGGAGACACGAATGACAGTACGTAGGCATATACCTACATCCCGTTCATGTCGATTCACCTTTAGAATTCAGCCAACACCTTTAGAATTCCAAACTATGATCGTAGCGCTAAGGTGATCGCCACTCACCGACTTTTAACTTAGACGAACGGCTGTCATAGTGGGCTACAATACACGATCGCCTTGTGGAACGAGACCTTGCACCTCAAAGTTTACAAACACATCACCATACCCGATGACATGATTTGTGGAATGTTGTTGCAAGATCCTTCGCCGATATGACGTCAACCTAGCAACAAAGTGGCAGAGTCGTCGACTGTGTACGATAAGCTCGTCTCAGTGAGCTATCATCTCCACATGCCATCGCCACACACCCACCAAAACAAAACAAAGAACCCGACTCCCTTCCCGACTCCGCCGCCGCCATCACCGCCCCTCCCCTCCCTTTTCCCTCGGCCGCCGCCACCACCGCCGCCGCCGCCACCACGTCTATGTTTAGAAAAAAAGAACAAAAAAAGATTTTATACGCGCTTCTTTCAATGGTTGATCTTTTCACCTTGTACGAGCGCTTCTTTGAGTTTTCCCCTCCTCCCCGGAAACGGATGTGACGCCCTCTTGGAGGTGCGCACGCCACCGGAAACGGATGTGCCGCCATATTGGATGCGCGCGCCACCGGAAACGGACGTGCCGGCATCTTGGATGCGCACGCATGACCCACCATGCCCTGCGCACACCCAACCGGAAGTGACTTCATCAGAGGTCACGTGACCCCACCGACCAATCAGAAGCCAGGAGCGGTTCTGTAGCGCTGCACACAACTACTGACCAATCAGATTCTTCATCTCGTATTACTTGCATTTGCTTTCAAACAAAATGGCGGCGCCCAGTCAAGACGATCTGATCGATAATCAAGATATATATTGTGATAAAACGGGTCTGACATCGCGAAGTGCATCAAATCACGTGAGCACTTTGATTAAAGACATGAATAGATTTGGAAAATATCTGATGACAACGAGTTGGTGGTGCACATGCTTTGCAAGTCCTGCAATCGACCGAACTCTGCATTACAGTTCACGAACCAGATTTCAATTTCGTTGTGCGATTTTGATTGAACTATGCACAGACTCGTTAGTCCAGCCAAACTTTTAACTCCATAATACCAGCCTAGTTCGGCAAAGGTGGAAACTGGACTTTTATAGTCAGTTAACTCCCTTGCCTCGGGAAGATGATTATTATCAGGCAGCTTGGTAACAGAGCTATGATACGTTTGTTTTTTTCTAAATACATTTACAAACTAATAGACATGTTGAATACCAACACAACACGAAGGCAAGTTTACCCACGTCCATCCGTCAAGCACGGAACGCCCCAAAAAGGATTAAAATAATAAAGCTGAATGTCCATGAAAGTTGCTCGTCTTTGATGTGATCAGAGCTATAAATATTCAAGGTAGTAGACATGTAGTTGACCTGTAGACAAACAAATCCTGGAGATCATTTTAGATTGGTGAAAACACAATGTAACATGATTGTATTTATACAAACGCCATAGAATAGTTGAAGTTTTCCAAATTCACCCACCTCAGTTGAGGATCCACCACTGTAGTTGGGTCGCTTGGTTTTCCCATCTTGCACGTGGTGGTCGGATGGTAGATTGTTGTAGCCAGTGCCCGGATGTAACACTCCCAGTATTCATCAGTGTCATACTTCATAGTGTTGCATGTCGGGAAGGGTGTGTCTTCAAGCTGGGCTCCTATTTCCTTGAATGCTTTTGTCTGATGAAGTTTCTGGACCATGCGAACACCTGTTGAACAGAAATGTCTTTTAAATTCTGATCCATTGATATTCAAAGGTATATTTTTGGAGCGAAGCGTTATTAATTCAGCATGTCTATATGTAGTTCAAAAAACAGTTTGAACTGACAAATCGATGATATTCATACTCGTAAAAGATTGTGAGTGTTAATTCTGAATCTATAATGATGAAACCTGATGTTCACTGTGTTCTGGATGTTACATTGTCATGCTTGAAGGTGGAAGTCAGTTTTGGTTGGACAAATATACATGATCCTTCATAAATGATGTTGCCTCAACTAGATCCAAAGACAAAGATGGTGCCTTGCTCGCAGTAGGTATCTGTTAAAAGTAGCCACTTTACCCAAAGAATGTCCCTGGTAAAACTTGTTACTTTACCAGAAGTATGTCCCCATTAACAGCAGTTGGTTTACTCGAATTATGACTCTGTTAAAAGTGATTGGTTTACCAGCCAAAAAATGAGTCTTTGTTAAAAGTAGTTGCTTTGCCCTAGAAAGTCCTTAATAACTGGAACTGTTTTCACCTCTAACTAAAGTCTTGACGTCATCGGGATGAGACAGGTAGTTGGGCTCGATGATAGGATGCTCAAACGGGTTGGTGCTTCTCAGGCGGATTGTCCCCATGCTCTTTGGACGGAGTAAAGCTGGGAGGATTGTGAAACCTTCTTCATCAGACGTCCAGTTGAAATGAGCAACTATCTAAATAAGAAGTAGATGATCGTTATATAAGGTAAGGGACGTTTCAAAACAAGAGCGTTTATGTCGTGTCAGTATGCGTGTGTAGTCCGTCCATACGATCTTCCCCGAAACCTGTTCATTGATGACCACAGCAACGGTGCTCTTACAGTACCCACAGAATTAATTATAAAAAATATGTAAAGCTGGCCACATGGCAACCGTGTTAAAAATGTCATTTTTGCCCATTGCTCAGCCATTAATGCATGTATCATTATAGAATTGGATAAGAAGAAAGTACGAAGACAGGGCCCATCGATACTGGGAACATATTGTGATTCCTGTGGAAATGAAGCACTCTTACCTTTTGGTCAATATTAAACAGACGGGCCAGACTTTTGTCCATTGAAACACAAACACATTGAAGCTGAACATCTGGACTTGGTTCGTCGGATTTCGTCTTCACAAACGCCATGGCTTCCAGACCGCCGCTTGAGGTTAAAAGACCTACAGTGAAAGGCAAGTTCTAAGCTGTTAGTGGCTGAGCAAGTACCCACTAAGGAAGGTGTGCCGCGATGCACGGATTTTGGAACCTTCAAGGAATGATTTGCTGAACAGTTAGCAACATTTTAACCTCAACATGGCGGCCTTCAAAATGTATCCTCAGATCATGTTTTGGACGCCACACGTTTGTAGACGACCATGTTTATCTTGAGTTATAAAGAAGTTGCAACTGGAAACTTGTCTGACATACCTTAAATATAAATGTCAGCATAAAAAGACTCTGCTTATGTAAATCAGCGACGATTTGGCGCATCATGGTCTTCATATTTACTTTTCAGTCGAAAGGATGGAAATCTTTTGGGCCACTCTTTTTAACAGATATATGTTTGCATTTCCTTAGTTTTTTTTATAATGTTACTTTTTTCTTTTCCTGCAAAACATGAAAAGGATTGATATCGGAATTACACTTCTGAACGTAAAAGTAAAGCATGTGTTGCTGTCAAGATGGTATTCCAGTCTGCGAAGCAACTTTTAACTTTAACGCCATGATATGACTGGAATAATGTGAAAAGCGGAGCTAAACCCAACTCACTCACTCACTCACTCACTTTTAACTTCACTTCATAGAATCAAGGGGTATCTTGACAATAAATGCTTTAAAGTCTTGACCTTCACCATTTCTATCTTATGAGGAGAATAGCAGTCTAGCGAACCAGAGAGACTACATACTTGGAATGTCTGGGACTGTAATTTGTTCAAGATGGGCCAACAGTCATGTACTTTAAAGGTATATAACGAACCATTTTGCTAAGAATGAGCTGAACGACTACTGCACATATAAAAATGCCCATTCCTATTTCTACTGGATTCCAATATCCGACACCAAAATTGCTTGGTCCAGCAAATCGCCCGATGTCAAAGATTAACCATAATCCTTGATACAAACAAGGAATGAATTTCGTTATATTCTCAGAAATATTCGATACAGGTGATTTTCATATCAAATCAATTCTCAAAGACTCAAAGATTTTGCTTTTGACTTTTAGCAATTGCAGAAAAGAACTAAGCTCAATTGTTAAACACTTGATTTTCCAACTTTGTACATCACTCACCCAAACGAGAAAATGTATTCTTAGATCCATGGGACAATTATCAAAACGTGGTGATCATAAAAATAAATTTACATCTCTTTCTTCAAAGGTTCATTACAGTATGTCAGAAATGAAAGCAAATGTCAGAGGAGGTGAGGTGAATTGGTTATAAAAAAGTAAGCAAAATTGTAAAAATCCAGATTATTGCACTTAAAAACCACCCGTGTGCGTGCGTGCGTGATTACTTGTATAACTTCGGACTGAGATATCATACTGCAGTTCACCTCACCTTTTACCTCTGAGAAAAAGAAATCAATGAAATGCTGGATTTGACCTCATTGATACCATCAATGTGAAATTTGGAGATCAGAAGTTTTTTTCAAAAACGAGGTTTCCCCCAATGGCACAAACTGTGCTTCCCTCCTTGTTGATATATTTCCGTAATGCATTTGAATCGGAATTTCTGCTCGCATTGGCAAACTCAACACACATTAATATTCAGGTATACCGATGTTTGGCTATTGGCCAATAAAATTCAAATAGGCAATTCCTCTCTTCTTATTTACCATCCTGAAATTGAACTAAAGAGACAATGAAACCATTACACTAAACAAATTTATCCACAAGACTGTATGAAATAAGGGATGTATTCAAAGGTCAACTTTCCCTTATGTTGAGCAATATTCCAATAGCTCCAGCCTTTGGTGTCTTCATTTTACAACTTGTACGATATTGTCGAAAATCTCTGAAACTACAACAGAGATACTTATAACTATGGACAACATCTCCTCGCTTTTACTTATAATGGATATATTGCCCACATCACGGTTTCTTTCATTAGACAGGACGAGATAAATATCATCCTGTTGGTATTGCCGGTCCTATTCAAAGGATTTTTTATAACCTGCATCACAAATACATGTCAGAATGCAACCTCGGGTGTCGACGAGTATTCAGCATATAGCTTGGCTTCCAAGGCTGATCGTGCTGCATTCATTTACTACTTGCAGTGTTCTTTCCCGAAATGTGGAATATATCCCTTCAACCATGATGTTCTCAAGAAGACTACTTTCGACCTCGGTGTTTTCAGAACTCGAGGAAACCTTCACTTATAACAATGCAGAAATTGAAGAAATGAAAAAAATGTCTACTGAGGCTCATGTTGCACCCACGTTAAAAATAGGATCGTCAACAAAAAATTCCGGCCTGTTCTTTGGAGGTGTTGACAGCGGTACATTCAAGAAACAAAAACTGAAAAGAAGTGTACTTTGTACAATTGCTGGTTGAAAAGAATCACAGAAGATGTTGTTTTCAAATACATATAGAACCATCAGGTGTTCTGTTCTCCCTATTCACACATAACAGCAACCACCTCTCAACCACCTCTCAACCTCGTAATTCAGCCAAGTAACAATTTTCAGCTATTTATACATGGACTTGGATAAAGACAACGACGTTTGTTGCCAGTGATTAAGCTTTCAACCAAAGGAACTGAAGAACTGAGTTTCTGTCGTTGTAGTGACTTGGGCTCATTGTACTAAATGAGCATGCGAACTCATCTCAAGTATTGCTCATCAATCCGCGTTGTGCGTACAGACGTTTTGGTGCTCATGCTATGACGAGAAAGAAGACAACATTCAGTAAAATGGACCATATTATAATGTAATACTAGTGTATTATGAATTATGATACCATGCTGACAAAGCTGTTGGAACGTTCTTGTTTGAAATTCTTTCTTCTTGGATATTATAGCACACTATGACCCATATACATTAATTGGAATACCCGATCTTATCCAATCAGAACCACTAAGGATCCATGCTCGTCATAAGAGGCGACTAACGGGATGGGATGGTGTGGTCAGGCTCGGTGACTTGGTGCATGACATCTTATTCCAATTGCGTAGATTGATGCTTATGATATCAATCACTGGGTTGTCGATTATTCACAGACCGTCGTCAAATCGATGGAATATTACTGAGTGAAGAGTTAAACAACAAACGTCCGTAAACGTCCGTTAACGTATGACGTTAGCAGTTTCGAATTCGTGGACCTGCCATAGAGAATTTTCGTAAAAAATGGGAACATGTGTTTTTTATGATAAAAGTGTTTGATGAAAAAAAGTTTAAAATGTTCAGGAAAATACGCGCCTTGAGGCAAATATTACTTACCTGATTTAAATGCACGATATTCGATTGAAGTAAGGGTTGACTCTAACTTCTTTGTCGTGAGGGAAATAGGCTTCTGAATCTTCGATACCATGGTGACGAACATGTGATCCTGTAAGCTGTCACCAACTGGGAGACTAGCGTGAACTGGAATCTGTATATTGAAGTACACACGACAAAACTATTTCAATAATTTTGTAAAATCTAAATATTTTTTACATTTGTATACTTATCCTGCATAACTTCTTAACGATTTCACAGCTTACCTTACGATAACTAGAAGGAAGGTCCTGGGTGAAGAAATAAAGTTCTGATGTCCCAATTACAGACCTTATCGTCGCTATCCTGTGACCTTGATGACACTGACTGTCGCCCAAGCTCTTAGAAATACATACTTTTGAGGTTTCTGAAGCCAAAGTGAAGCGACAAGTCTTGCGACGGTCTGGGCCTTAAACGTAGTAATGCAGGATAAGTATACACATGTAAAAAAAATATTTAGATTTTACTAAATTTTTTACTTATCCTGCATTACTCCTTAATGTATCTGTGTCGGACAGTTTGGAGGTGGGTCAACCTTCAGAATACAGAAACCTCAATAATTCACACCCTTCAATATGACACAAGTTGGTCGATAAACCTTGAAGCAGAAAAAACGCCATTAGGGTTGTTAAAAATAGGATAAAAAAAGATTGAACATAGGAATTACAGAGATATTTCCAATACATACTTAGTATTAAAGAAAATTATAGCTAATCAACTAATTCTTTACTTACTACGTCAAAGAGCCGTCGTTCACAAACAGGATTGTCTAATATTCTTCCACTGGCGGCGACTGAGTGACTGCACATGGAAGTAGATTGGCTCTGTATAGGACGAGTTCATTATTTACGTCAGGGGTTGGTAACCTGCTGGGTTACAACCAGAGGGTCCAACTTCGCACGCCTTCGACATCCTCGAGAGCCACAACGCGAAGATAATGACTTACGTAAACCTGTGTCGAACCTCCAGAAATATCCTTCCGTGATTGTTCCAATAAAACAATTGCCGTGTTGAGCCATGGTAAGGCTAACACCCTGAGATCGTGAGGGTAATTCGCTCTCCGCGGATTACGTTTTGGCGCTCTCGTAGGCCTGCAGGATTACTGCACGTAACCATAGAGATATGGTGTTTGCGACTAACTTCGGTCGTGGACGTAGTAAACACGGGTATAAATAACCGCTTCCTCGAACCACGCCTAGTCTTGGAGCGGCGAATGAAAACTCGAACTGCTCGCACCGAGCCCAGAAGAAATTCACCTTCATGTACGGCTCCCACAATAACCGATATTGGTGGGATGGTGAAGGAACGGTCGGGTTGGAATGGTAGTAGATTTTAGCAATAAAATCCTAGCATAACCTGAGATGTACCGCTCCGTGCGTCCCATGCTCAAAACGGACCCGGGTGGTGTTAATCAGGTGTAGTTCGCTCACCCATGCTGCCATAGCTAATGCCAAGAGAAACCATTATTTTCTTGGTGAGGTCATAAAATGAGGATGCATAGAGGGTCTCGAAGGGGGGCCTCGAAGTACCATGTTCAAGTCCCAAGCAGGTGGGAGGAACTTGGCCTGATCCGAAAGCCTGAATGAGCGTAATAGGGCCTGTAGTTCCGTGACCTTAATCACCTTGTGATTTTCCGGGACAGCCAACCCTGAGTTAAGTGCAGCCAATTACATAGTAATGGTGCTACCTTGTAGTTCCAAGTATCTTTGGGTAGCAAATGTAGGAGGAATTCCGCTAGGAATTGTTGTGACGCAATCGTAGGGTCTTGATTCTTTTGCCTTGTAAAAAGTCTCAAATGATCCCCAAATGATAGTCCTCTGGGAGAGGAACGATGAACTAAAGCTATAGCTTTGCTGCCCGTTGTCGAAATATCCCTTCGCACTTAAACGCCTTTTAAAGACGAACCATGCGTGCAGACGTTGGGTGAGGCAATTTGCTGTGAGGCCTGATGAGTAGGTTGGACCACTGTGGGAGGGGTCGTGGATCGTCTTCAGCTAGATGTTTCTGAGCTTGACGAACCATCCTCTCGCCGGTCACCAGGGCGCGACCAAGGTGAGAGCAAGATACCTTGTCTCTTTGATCCCCTGTATCACCTTGGTAAGTAAAACTGATGGCAGAAAAGTGTGTGCTTTTAGCCCTTACCAAGGGATACTGAACTCGTCCACTGCCCAAGTCTGCATATCCGGTAACGGGGAGATATATGGCCTGAGTTGGTGGTCTAGGCAAGTAAGAAACAAGTCAATGTTTGGTTGCCTGAACTTCTGAAGCAGTAACTGGAATGTTTCTGTGAGAAGTTTCCACTCGGTGGGAGCCACCCTGTCTGGACATGATACTGCCAAAGTGATATGGCCAGAATTAAAGCTTCCAACTCCAAGTTGTTTATATGCCACTTTCACTGAACACTGGACCATAGCCCTGAGGTCATCTGGTCTTGTAAGTGAATACCCCACCCGATGGGGAGCGTCAACGAACAGGTGTATATTCGGGGAAAACCTGAATAAAGAGACTCCGAAGACATTCAACGCCACCAATTGAGTTTAGCCGGTAGAGTGATGGCCTTGATAGGATCCTGACTCCTGATGTTGCAGTTGTAAGTGGCCCAAGCTAGTTAAGTCCTGTACCGAGGTGAGTAACCCTAGCAACACTTGCCATTGGCAAAGCATGTATGGTTGGTGTTGAGCAGATGACAACAGGCTTAGAAACTTGTGCCAACTGTCCCTCGGTACAAATAGGAGATCCTGGTCTGTCTGGAACAGGCCTCCTATGAACTGGAGCCAATAGGAAGGAGATAACTCCCGACTTCGCTTCGTTGATTATCCATCCAAGTTAAAAAGATATAGTAGCCGTCTGCCTGGTGAATTCCCGATGGCGTACTAACGTTGACATGTGTTGATAACACAGAAGATCGTCCTCCATCTACGACTCGAAACAAGTGTTCGTCAAGTGTAGATACGCAGTTATTGGCTTCATTACTCCTGTAAATAGCCAAGGGTCACTGACATGTCAAATTGGAAACACTATCCATTGGTAGTGAACCCCACTGAACTGGACCTGAGGAGTCTACGGTTGGGATGGATAGTCGACACTGACCAAGAATCAGACGTATTGATGTTGATTATGAGAGTTCTCAACGTGGTGAGGCGGCAATAATGTGGACGTTTAAGATAACGTTCGTTGAACACGGAGAGATTGTGGATCATTCTCATCTTGTCTGGGTCCTTCATGGGTACCAGGCAGATGTGAGGATAAAACCCCGGTGTAAAGACTGGGTTGTGAACCAACTCTACAGCTGTTCTCACCAACAGTATGTCTATGTTGGATTTTCCAAACAAAACTGTGGTCAACGGTGGGGTTACCTCTTCGTGTATACGGAAACCATGATATAATACGATGAGTACGTAATCGTCCTTGAGACTTGTCTGTGCCACGCCCTTTCCCAGTAAGGGAATACTGGTCTTCCTTGAGAGACGCGCGTCTAGGCTTATAATTGGCTGACGTAGATAGACTGGGATAGACTAAGAAAGAGACGTGCTCTAGAGTCTTGAGCACAGTGTAATTCAAAGCGTTTTGGGAACTTGGCGTGCGTGTCTGCGATCTGTTCATTGAACAGGGGAGTAGATGACCAAGGTTGACGTAGCAGCCTGCCCTTGAAGCCAGAATCTCAGTTGAAAACACTGTAAAGACTGGTTGTAACGGTAATCTCCGTCAGGGTGGTCTCAAGATGAATTTTCCTGTGGTCAATCTGACGCTGCAGGAAAATCATCATAGTTTGGAAGTGATCTGATCAGATAGGCTTATCCTCTGATAGATCCTGATCCACCACAAACATTGACGATGTTGGTGTCTTAAACGACGGAGCAAATGTGAGTTTGGAGAAGTCTTCCTCCAATGACCTCGTGGTGTCCCTCTTATTTACCCCGTTACCAGGGGAGGGCGTCACTGACACGTGACGGTCTGCTACCTAATCTGGTATTTGTGCTTAGCCGGTGATCTGCTCCGGTGCGTAGTACCTACCCTATCAGCAGGCTTTGATGACCCGCCTAGATAAGGAGTCATGTGGGGATGTTACCCTCCTTGCTGCCCAGCGATATATGCTGTACCAGAAAACACATTTGGTATTTGGCATACGTTAGGCGCAGATGTAGTCGCTTACATTAGTGCCAAGGATGTTGTGTAACCGAGTACACTGTAAGTCCTTTGACTGACGTCATTGTAGAGACCTTGATTGGTACGCAAGACGCTGCGATCAGCGCAGGTCTGTGAGACTAGGGTCATCGGTGATGACTGGATCATTGTAGAAGCGCTTGGACCATTGTCCAGTTAGCGTACGGGAACGGTGTTGACGCCTGAGCGTACATCTGCTGCTCTGGATATGTTGGAAAAGTGCTAAGCTGATCGTGCGTCGGTTGCGTAATAGAGGCGCCTGGGTAGAAGTCAGACGCTGCGCTCGGCGCAGGTAATTGAGACACAAAGCTCAAAGGTATTGACTGGACCATGGCTTGCTATGCTACCCCTATCATAGCATCTTGAGACGCTGGTGCTGTCGCCGACGTCACAGATTTAACATATCTGAAAGTGTCTGGCGGCTGAAAAAAAGGCGCAGTTACGATACTCACAAAATCCTCCGGTATTGTTGATTTCGGTGGAGAGTGTACTCCTGCAGTCACAGTTACGGGCGTCATATTACCTGCCGATAATAACGGCTGGGTGGTTATGACCGAACCATGTCCTTCGCTATTCCGCGATTGTAACATTCCTTTCGTCTCACGACGGGATTACTGCAAAATATGATTGTGAGTAACCTGCTTTTATATTGTAAAACTCGTTTGAGAGAGATTTATACAAAAATTACATTTAGAATTTGGCGGGCACATCTACGACAATATGTATAACACGCAAACAAGTTTCAGAAATAAACCATTTTTGAAGAAATGGTACGGGAAGAATGCCGTAGAATTGAACAATAATCTATTCGCAAAAATACGAGTTGCAAGGGTATACAATATTTTTATATACGCAACTCAATGTAAACCAAGGCTATTTACATTTAGAGTTTTGAGAGCACATCTGCGTGCAAACCAAACAACGTGGATGATGATCTTTGTAAGATTTTTTCCACGACAATTACTACAAAGCTCAAGCATAAGTTATGCAATTAAACCATTGTTGATGAGACTGTACTGGAAGAAGGCCGTAGAATTGAACAATAATCTATCGGCAAATTACGAGTTGAAAGTGTATACAATATTTGTATATACGCAACTCAATGTAAACCAAAGCTATTTACTTTTGGATTTTGGCGAACACATATGCGTGTAGGACAACCGACGTGAATGATAAGATTTTTTCCACGACAATAATACAATCGCGCAAACATAGGTACGCAATTAAAGAATTGTTGACGAAGCGGGACTGGAAGAAAGCCGTAGATCTAGATTTGATATCAATCTATCGGCAAACATATTTTGAACGAGTCGAAAATGTATACATAGAGGTTATCACGCGAGTGTGTTTGGGGATGGTAAATATCCTGCATTAGGAATAAACATTGTATTTAGCGAGCCTTACACTGGGTAAGTGATGTGTTAGTCGGACAGTGGCAGCAGCCAATATAGTTCCAACCAAAATCTGTTTCTTATACAGTGGCCAAGCAACATATACGCAAAACAACAGTTGTTTTTAATTGCCTTTCGCGGCAATCCATCGGTCTGTCCGCTAGAGTAACTGTCCTTTGTCGAAGGGAAGCTACTCTAACCCTAGTCTATAAGACGTCACGGCCACGGTCAGACGTTGTTGACAGTCGGTCTGTCCTGTCATAACGTTAAGAAGTGTTGTCAGATGTACACACAGCGACAAAACGAAACAAGGTAACAATTCAAACATGTTTCGGCCAAATCCAACTATTTTAATTTGTGGAGATGGTTTCAAGCCGCAGAGGTATACAAGCACAGATATGGCTACTGATCCTGCTTGGCTAGGCCTCATACCCTCGCAAAATTGTTTCGAAATTTAGTTGCCAAAATTTATAAAATGCCTTAGCTACGTCACAGTTAGACACTGATTGTCAGTATATTAGACTGTTCTTTTGATAATGATAGCAATTATCCCTGTAGTTTATCCAGATTCCCGATAGTTATTTCTGACTCGATCGCCGAATGACGAGGGCGACGCCATGTTTGTTTATAAACAGTGAAAGTAGTCCTACTTGACCTTTGATATTTGCATCTCTATCCGCATATGACCCCAACGGATATCGTTTTTATCCGTTGGCTTTATCCTGCCGGGAAACCTACCCAGTATATGATAAAATAATTTATATGTACGCAACTCACTGTTACGCCAAAGCTAGTAGAATTTAAGAACACAAGAATGTTATACATACATGTATGTAGCTGAGAATTGTAAACAATTTGAATACCTTTGCAGGCAAACGATTGTAACACAATTCAAAATAGCGGCAAACAACAAATATGTGGCGGGAAGTCACAAGAGTCTTTTCACGCCTAATTAATTCACATAAAACTACACAACATGGGGAAAGTATATGAAAAGAATACATCACCCATCACAGATCAATTTTAGGATTGTAAACGAACACTGAAGGTCTAAATTAATCCAAAAGGAGAGCTCCGCTGGGACATGTCCTTGCTGTACTGCGACAAGCAGTGATGAGAAGATGACCTTAGGTGTCATCAAAGTCACAGGCAGCGACGTGAAGGTCAGTAATTGGGACTTCAGAACACGACTTTATTTCTTCACCCAGGACCTTCGCAGTTGCGCTGTCCTTCTAGTTGTCTTAAGGTAAGCAGTGAATGCATTAAGGAGTAATGCAGGATAAGTAAAAAATATAAGAAATCACAATAGTCCACTGTGCGATTCCGACCAATTCCTAAGCACGTGTTTATAAGAACATCATAGAGTGGTGACACTATGTGTTCGCGGAAAGGTAAGCGTATATCACCCCACCAGTGGCACCCATCACAAACCCGTCAGAAACACATGCAAAGAAAAGACAATAAGTAATAGCCTCTGGCACACCTGTACTTATAATGTATGGAAGTTACTGGTTCTCTGGCATTAGAAATCAGAAAGTGAGACTTGTTGAACACAAGGGACGATGAAAGCTGATCGTATTTGTGTATTTGAGTTGTCGGTGAATCGGTAAGTCACTTCTTAAGACCAGCATAGGTTGCTGGCGATCTATTCTAATCCAGAATCCTCATGAAGAAATATAAGTGTTGTTTTCATTCTATAACACACTTGGGACTTTAGTAATCTTAAGGAATGACTGTGTATTATTTTCGGTTCATAAAGGTATGAATCGAAAAACCGATGTGCAAATTGTATGCATCCGTGTAAATTCGACAACGGAAGCATGTTTTATCTACAATAGTTTTACCAAAAACAGGTGTATATATCAAAGCAGACAAAAAGACGACATTGATAAACATTCCAGTTGTAGGAATACATAGAGTGGCGTGACATGAATAAGGTGATTGTTTAATTTATGCACATAACTTGAAAGCCTACAAAGGCAGTAGCCGATTAACGGAGAGTGGGATCCAAACAATGATCATAGGACCTGTCAATCAAGGCAAGAGGCTGTAACGAATATAACTGTGAGAAAGCGGCTATTTCAAATGATAACGGGAAGACACAGTTGGAAAAATGGGGACAATGAAAAAGAAATATATGTTGTATGTTCGTTCTTTAACACAATAGTAGTAATCTACAACATGAATTGACAATTGGTACTTTTAGAACAGAAGATGAGGCATGTCTTTCTATAAGAAGTAATTAAAGAATTTATATGAATCTTTCTCACACTTAACAAATAAATTGTTATTTAATCTGACACAACTCAGTCGCATGAGTTGGCTAAAGAGCATAAAGTAGCCGTTCTATAAATTTGCACTCATAGGTTAGTGACAGGGCAGGAGATGGCAACATCGCTTCCGAAACATGTGGTGAATGGGTCCAGGTTATTAATCATTACAGAATGGAGATATACTATACTAGATGATCGTGGATGTGCTCATTGCGGCATTAGACGTAACACACATACATCTACAATAGTATGCAATGTTCAAGTCTAACGGTCATCATGTGTAACAAAACTGCTCAGTATATTAACGTCGTCATTCCTCATACGTCTTTTCTTGTTCAATTCTCTTCTGTCAGAAAAGGCTCACCTTTTCACGAACACCTGGTATCATCACGTTTTGATAGCGCTTCATAAACACATGCTCAGGAAAAAGTAGGAATCGTACAGTCGATTCTCCTTTTAGATAAACTTACATCTGTGATGTTTCTGGAGAGAACAGCAATCCGATCTACTAATTTAAATTAGACATAAACTGCATAAAGAGATCGATGCTCAGTTCTCACCTTCATCTCCTCCAAGTGTTTCTTTGGCCCGATCCCTGACAGCAACAGCAGCTGTGGCGATCCAATTGAACCAGCTGACAAGATTACCTCCCTTGAAGCACGAACTCTGTACAGGCGGCCATCTTTGACATACTCGACACCATCTGCCATCTTCTTGTTTATCATTACCTGGTGAAAACAATTGACCAAACTCAGTACTGAACTGATGTGTGATGTATGTACGAATGCGTAACCTAGAGGAATGTGGACGGGTGAAGTACACTACCTTCGTGACGTGACTGTTGGCCAGGACGTGCAGGTTGGGTCTGTCTATCACTGGCCACAGGAACGCCTTGGATGTGCTCATACGTTCGCCATTCCTGATTGAAGCCTGAGATCTACTAAATCCTGAAACAATTACAGTTGGCATTAATAACGTATTACAACGTGCCTTTGCCTTACTACAGGACTATGAAAATATTCGAAGCAAAACCGTCATGAGCAGAATTCCATCAATAGGATGCTCCGGATGTAATTCAAAGGTTGTTGAGGGTGGTTGAGTCAGGCGATTTCTTCCGTACTATTTAAATAGTAGATCTAATAGAGACTCGCCAAACTGACAGACTGACATATACACAGACAACCGACAGGGTGACACCCAGACAGACAGGAAGGCAGACGCAGAACCACATAAACCTACAGGTGGAAAAAGACTCTCAGGAACAGCAAAGACACACAAAACTGACAAACACGCACATAGCTACACTGCACAAAGACAAAAACGAACGCATGCAGACACAGACAAACTCCACGCACACGTACGCTCCTTCGCACATAAACTTGCCTTCCTGATTTTCGCCGTTGTAGTCTACTTCCTTGAACCCGAGTTCAATTCCCGCCTTGACGAAGAAGTCAGCGACGGGTATTGCGTTCACTTCCGTCACAGTCAGTGGGCCTCCCCGGCCATGGTATTCTTGAAAATGATGATGAGTAAGAAGGATATGGTATGTCTCGATAACAAACAAAAATCTTTCACACACTGTCAACTGTCATGAAAAGCGGGAAAAGCGGGAAACCCAAGAAAAAGCAGCGTAAATTTAGTAACGGCGATTTTTGAAGTTTTTATTGATCTCAGTACAAACAAAAAGAAAGCACAATGCATCTTCCCCTGCTATTTACATTTGTTTGTTGGTTTACTATTCATTGCCGCAATCGGCAGTATTCAACATATGTGACGGCGGTGTGTAAAATAATCGAGTCTGGACCAGAAAATCCAGTGACTGACATCATATGCATCGGTCTACGCAATTGGGATACGATGACATGCATCAACCAATCCCCATCCCGTTCGTCGCCTCTTACGACAAGCACAGTCGCCTATTACGGCAAGCATGGGTTGCTGAAGACCTATTCTTCTGTTTATGTTGGTTGGTTGCTTAACGCCGCACTCAGCAATATTCCAGCTATATGACGGCGGTCTGTAAATAATCGAGTCTGGACCAGACAATCCAGTGATTGACATCATGAGCATCGATTCACGCAAATTGGATCGATTACATGCATCTACAAAGTCAGCCAACGAGTAAAGTACTTTTGGTTTTATGTTTACTCTTTGTCTCATCCGAATTTGACTCAGCTATCTTCACCTAAAAGAGGTTTGTTTTGTTGGTTTTTCGTTTCACGCCGCACTCAGCAATAGAGAAGTGATATTTTCACAAGTGCACAATCACTTACTGTTTTTATGCAAATTATGTATGCGTCGGATGCCACCGGTAGGGCCGAACATGGTTACTCTTTCGTGAAGACCTGGTGTCATCAGTGATTTTCAGTGATCCATTCATATAATTGTCACACGTATTTTGCCTTTTAAGCCCAGTGATAATGAATTGCACGTGGTGATAATATCGACATGCGAAATGTAAATGATGTATATAGTTTTATAGTTACCTGAATTTTTTAATCTATCAATTTGTATGTCTTCCGACTTTTTAAAGTACGGGAGAACATCTTCGTAACTCCACCCCTCACTGCCACTGGCTGCCCAGCTGTCGTAGTCATGACGATGCCCTCTGACATACTGCATATAGTTTAACTGGCTGCTTCCTCCCAAGACTCTACCACGTGGCCATGCTCCCCTCTGAAATTCATCTTAATATATCTACTTGAATACAGATGTAAAATATATCAAATGTTATCACAGTTTTTGTAACTGGTGCGTCACATTTTGAAACGCCCTACACATCTCTACCATAAAACATTTGAAAGCTTTACAGAGGCCACAAATTTTGTAACCTTGAGCTAACAACTCCTGAACAACAGTCGTGTGACGCTCTTTCAAATCATGGCAGACAGAGCATGCTCAATCAGCAAACCAAGAACCTAGAAAATAGGGCATGCTCAATCACGAATGATGCTAAGACCAATTCAATGTACGAATACAACTGTATGTGCATGTGCAGATCTTAATATATAAAATAGGGCAACAGGGAGGTGCGTGCTTTCAGAGACCTATTTGTTAACCTTGCCTTTTCTATTAGTCCTGAATGTGCATTTTGCTGAGGTTCGGTCAAATAGGCCCAGTCAAATTTGTCCATCTGGTTTAAGGCTACCATCAGAGGAGTATCCAGCGTCTTCTGGTTCCGGTCATCACCGCCAGCCTCGATCAGCAGGACGGTCACGTCACCATTCTCGGACAGACGGGACGCTAGAACAGCCCCTGCGGACCCTGCCCCAACTGTGAAATAGAATACTGTTTTAACCATACACAACAGATCACACTTAATCATTTGCTGTGGTCGTCCTAACAGTAATGCCCCAATTAAACTACATAATGCAATACTCACATAATATTATCAGACAGAATTTGTTCTTACATTACAGTAACGACCCAAAAGACGCTCAACAAAATGTAGCAGTCATTTGAAGATGAACTTCAGAAATATTCGAAGATATGAATATTACCTATTATATAGTCATAAGTCGTTCTCAGTTCGGGAGAAAGAATTCCTTTGTCGTCAACAGGAAAGACGGAGACACCGACGAAGATAGCGAGGATTGCAACATTGACGACAAGCAGCAGTGACGTCGTTGAAAAGCCCATGATCCCTTATTCGGATTTTGAATATTCTGTCAAACTGACAATGTGCAATATGTTCAATCTTCACAATTGGCTACATTATTTCTGCTTTTCCTACAAGCCATGCACTTCAAAATCCATGTCTATATGCAAACTAAAAATACTATTTATCCCCGTTATGATTCAACTGAACAATCAGCCTCGGTTGGAATAGAAGCTTTCACACCTATATCTTGCTGGACCAGGAAACTGAAATAATCGGATTGTATACGCCTGTGACCTGATTTAGTGCTGGTCAGTTTGCTCGATGGTGTGGATCGTTTTCATGTGTATATTCACCGGTTTGTCTCAGCCAGACAAAGCACTGGGACTTATGGCAACTCAATGGGAAATACATGCACTGTCAACATTATTTGTTTTTACGTTTAATCGTATAGGCTCTTTACGAAAGATAGTGTTTCCAATCAATGCATCAACTGGATTCCTTCGCTGACCCTGTTTTGTGCTGATACCAGACTGACACGCTCGTGCCACAAGACAAGGGCATTTTGGCGCAGTGACTATGCCTCTCAACAAGATTTTCCTTTTCATATAACTTGTAAACGAATATACATATTCGAATAAATACACTTTAAATACACTCCACCCTCAGTTTGTTCTATTCGTATAAATACGATACACCTCAGCCGTTTTTGCTATTATTTTCTAAAACATATGTTGAAATGGTCATGATTTGCTCAGGGAAAATTTAAATAAGCCCCTTGTGTTTCTTACCGCTAGCTCGATGTTACACACGTCAAGCCTTCGCCGAAGAAGTGGAGTTGTGTCGATAAGCCAAAGTCACAATCAACAACAAGAATACTGTGTTGACTTTCACGAATGCACTTTACTCTGTGACTCAACAGATGCACCTTATTCCTTGACCCACATTTGAAGACATCTCCTAGTGTAAATAAAAGCTATAAAACCCTTTCCCAATATACAAATGTCAACGCCAGAGAATAATCAGTCTCGAGTATCTGATGAAACATAATACATTGGCCTTAAAGGGGTACGCTGAAGTTCATGATGACACCCGGATTTCGCGAAAAGTGTAAGCACATACTGTCCTACAGGAAGGGAGAAAGCTCTGCTAAGAGTCCATTGTTCGATTGCGACTTTGTCATTAGCATGTGCTTATGAATCAATATCGGCTAGTGATGTTACCATGTGTTCGAGAAAAAAGATGAGCGTATCTGGCCGGAACAGCGTCACTTATGGATTTACTAGATGTACGAACATATACTCTGGTGAATCTGAACTAATCTTTAATGTTGATATTCCTCCTGTTCTATTAGTCTTGTAGAACTTCCCTTCGAATGTATAATATAATTGGACGATTCCGACAATATCATAAGCCCGTGTTTATCAATCACTTGTGAATTTACTAAAATGGTGAATGTACTAAAATAGTGGATATTTACCCATTGCTTTTCTTTTTCTTTGTAACAGAAATGTTTTACATTGATCTTCTTAATATTCTCCTACTAGCTTTAAATACAAAGTCGTTAAGTGACACAATCTGATACCATCAACATGATATCCATCACTGGATTGCCTGGTCCAGATTCGATTATTTACAGGCCACCGGCATATAGCTGGAAGTTGCTGAGTATATAGTATAAATATATCTGAATGCACACATGTGGCACATGCTACCACAGTTGAAACTAGTCGCAGATGTAGACATAGCATGTCAAATTTCAAGGCCATCTGAAATCATTAGCGTGTGTGCACGACCCGATCTCCTGTCAATGGAAGGGATGAGAGTACTAATCTGACCTTGGGGAATGGTGGCCCACTCGGCCTGTAGTGCAACCGTTGTGAGCCGTGCTGTGTGTGCTCTGGCGTGATGCCAGAACCAGGTACGACAGTCTGCGGCTAAGGTTGACATTGTCACGTCCATCCAGCCAACTCATCGAGAGGAACCGGAATATAGTTGTTGTGTCGGTTTGCTGTTGTGAGTCCTGCTGTGTGTTATCCGACATTATCAAGCTGGAATGCAGCCTTAGAGTTCTGACGAAGGGTATTCTCAAGTTGAAATAAAATGTACGCTATGTTAAATCATCATCGTCGTGCGTGTATCGAGAGGAGAGACAATATATTGATCTACACTCCCAGACATTTATCGTCATTGCACCTTCACTGTCCATTCATCAGTTCCCTTATTTTTTGTCGGTATTATGTATATATATATATCATCCTGTATGGGTTTCAACCGTGAACATCTGGGGTAGACTAGGTCTTCAGCAACCCATGCTTGCCATAAGAGGCGACTAAGCTGGTCACAAGAGGCGACTTACGGGATCGGGTGGTCAGGCTCGCTGACTTGTTTTATGCATGTCATCGTATCCCAATTGCGAGGATCGACGCTCGTGATATCAATCACTGGATTGCCTGGTCCAGATTCGATTATTTACAGGCCACCGTCATATAGCTGGAATTTGCTGAGTATGGCGTTGGGCAACAAACAAACAAATAAACAAACATTCATTAAATATATCTGAATGCACACATGTGGCACATGCTACCACAGTTGAAACTAGTCGCAGATGTTGCAGCAATAATGAAAACCCGGATTCGGGCCTTTTGAGCAAATGAAGGGCATCGTTGATAAGATGAAAAAAGAGTGAAGTTTAAGATTCATTGGTCTACTGGTATATTCACGGAGCAGTGACTGGATTTTGAGAAGAATTAGAGGCATGGTCAATGTGCAAAGGGCAGATCAATGTCAAACTTTAATATATCGCGAAAAAAAGAACATATATCTTAAGACACACTACTTACTAAACATTTTCCGACTTTCATTACATTTGGAACAAACATGACTAAATAATGGCCTTAATCGGTGTTTCAATATGTTTGTTGTTTAACGCCGCACTCAGCAATATTCCAGCTATATGACGGCCGTCTGAAAATAATCGAGTCTGGACAAGACAATCCAGTGATTGACATCATGAGCATCGATCCACGCAATTTGGACCGCTGACATGCAGCAACCAAGTCAAAGAGCCTAACCACCCGACCCTTTTAGTCGCCTTTTACGACAAGCATAGTCGCCTTTTACGGCAAGCAAGGGTTGCTGAAGACCTTTTCTACCCCAGATTTTCACGGGTCTGTCAATCGTGGCTTCCATACTACAAATGAGATTCATATTCGAAGAAATTTTGGTATCATGTACCATGTCCTTTGGTTTCTGATGGGCCGATATGTACAGAATATAGAGCCCATCGTCACAGTATTAAATTGAGGATCATGGTTTGCATGTCAATGTACGCTGCCAGCATGGGACGTTGTATATAATATCAATCACTGGTTTTCCTGGTCCAGACCCGATTGTACAGCTGGAATGTTACTGCCAGTGGTGTAAACCAACAAACAATGGTGTCACCAATCGGGAGAACAAAAGTCAGTGTGGACAACTGACAGTAACGGAAACACTGTATTTCTCGACCTCTGAGGCCATCAAATTGCATGCGGCTATTAAGGAGGTGAGGTGAGGTGAAATGGGGTTTAACGTCGCGTCCAAGATTATTGCACTTATATAACGACGTGTGTGTGTGTGTGTGTGTGTGTGTGTGTGTGTGTGTGTGTGTGTGTGTGTGTGGCTGCTTGTACTAGTCCGGACTGATGCCGATTTATAGTGCTAGCACACTGAGATACCATGCCGCAGTTTAACATGAATACCCCACTCAGACACAGTATACTGACCCCGAGCCGACCAGTCCTTGTTTTAGCTACTTAATGCCGAGCGCCAGACAGGGTAACAACAAGTTCCATCTTTTAACGTCTTTTGGTATGACGCGGCCGGGGATCGAACCCCGGATCTTCCGCTCTCCGGGCGGACGCTCTACCACTAGACCACGGAGGCGGTTGGCTATTAAGGAAGGCAGATCATCCTAATTGTGTCATGAGTGAGTGAGTTTGTTTTTACGCCGCTTTTAGCAAAATTCCAGCAATATCACGGCGGGGGACACCAGAAATAGGCTTCACACATTGTACCCATGTCGGGAATCGAACCCGGGTCTTCGGCGTGAGGAGCGAAAGCTTTAACCACTAGGCTACCCGACCGCCCCTAATTGTGTCCTGAAGGCTGTACACAGACAGTGGATGCACAATACGAATCCAACCACTATTATTGTGGCACATGGTTGGAGTATCCGATTTGAACTTGTTTTTTTTAAAGAAGTATGTGGAATTGTGTATTCTGTTGTGAATTTGACGTAATGTTTTAGATTGGGTGATAATACCTTGTTTTGATTCTTCACGTGTGAACATGTGAAGCCCATTTTTGGTCTCTCCTGTCCTGACATAATATATTGCTGGAAACGGCACAGAATTCATTCACTCGCAGATTCGATGTTCTTTGTGCTGTCCTAATGGGAAATCCACACGAATGAGAACACAAACAGTTTTTTTGGGGGAAGTATTTTAATTTTTACTCCAGATTGAAAAAAATCAGATTGAACATCATGTTATGTGTACGATAACTAAAGCGTTTTATAACATCTGTTACATTAAAATAGATAGATATGCAATAATAAGAGAGAGAGAGAGATAGATGATCTATCTAATATGTGGAAGCAAGATTATCCTGAGCCTTATTTGCTACTTTTGATGATGTCTGCCGCCTTTTCTCCAATCATAATGCACGGGGCGTTTGTGTTCCCTGACACGAGGGCCGGCATGATGGAGGCGTCCGCGACTCGCAGTCCAGCAATACCCTTCACTCTGCAAAATATTTTATTGAAACCGACATTCAGATTAAAGGGACGACTTAGATTCAGCACGGACACGCCACGGCGGAAACTAGAAGTCAGTTGGTTACACCTTAATCGTCATTCGAAATTCGTAAATTTGTTTTTCGTCCTCGAACATACACTTTTACCAATATTGGGACAGTCATTTAGAGCATGTTCGACCAACGTCAGACAACATTGGGGACATCACATACAACATAAACAAACCTACAGGTAAACGTTTGAAAGACGAATAACAAACTAACTTCTGGTTGTCCCGTCACAGCTCGGTGTATATATTTATCAGGCAGCTTGGTAACAGAGCTCTCATATGTTTGTTATTTTGTTTGTTAGTAATTTGTTAGTTTACCCACGTTCATCAGTCTAGCACGGAACGACCCCAAAAGGATTAAAAGAATTAGCTGAATGTCCAAGAAAGTTGCTGGTCTCTGATGTGATCAGAGCTACAATCATTCAAGGTGATATTCATGTAGTTGACCTGGTGATCATTTTAGATTGGTGAAAACACAATGTAACATGATTGTATTTGTACAAACGCCATAGAATAGTTGAAGTTTTCCATATTCACCCACCTCAGTTGAGGATCCACCACTGTAGTTGGGTCGCTTGGTTTCCCCATCTTGCACGTGGTGGTCGGATGGTAGACTGTTGTAGCCAGTGCCCGGATGTAACACTCCCAGTATTCATCAGTGTCATACTTCATAGTGTTGCATGTCGGGAAGGGTGTGTCTTCAAGCTGGGCTCCTATTTCCTTGAATGCCTTTGTCTGATGAAGTTTCTGGACAATGCGAACACCTGTTGTACGGAAATGTTTTTTAAATACTGATCCATGTCTCCGATCCATTTTGGATTCCAAGGTATATTTTTGGAGCGAGGCGTTATTAATTCAGCTTGTCTATATGTAGTTCAAAAACAGTTTGACTGACAAATCAATGGTATTCATACTCGTAAAAGAATGTGAGCAGTATTTCTAAATCTACTATGATGAAACCTGATGTTCACTTTGTTCTGGGTGTTACATCTGTCATGCTTGAAGGTGGAAGTCAGTTTTGGTTGTACAAATATACATGATCCTTCATAAATGATGTTGCCTCAACTAGATCCAAAGAAAAAAAGATGTTGCTTTGCCCGT